TAATTTATCCAAAATCTAGTTTATTTAAATATTGTACTCTATTGGAAATAAACACATGGATCCATATTTCGTTGACCACATAGATTCCAACTAGTTGTTTAAACAAATTTACACGAAAATCATTTTTGTACGGCAATAGTCCTAGTAAAATTTGTTGGCCTAACAGTGAACGTTATTTTGGTAATCAGTAGTATTGCACATATAATCTTAATATCCGTATACATCTTGAAATTCACACTTGACAGAATACTGTGCGTAATGTTGTAAAAACTGTCAAATGTACTACAAGTCATCAGTAGACAACTAAATCGATGAATAGTTAAAATTTACAAACGTAATAATTCGTAATTTGCATAGAAAGTGTCGTTGTTGATTTGTGCGTGAAAAGAATGTACTTTACATTGTAATTCAGGTTACAGAAGGTAAAAACAGATGCGATATATTTCGTTTCTTGACCTTTGGGATCAGAACAAAATGTGAGGTACGTTAAGTTTTACACCTTATTAGGTAGGATTAATTTAGATCAACATAAAACTGTTTTCAAAGTAATTTAAATCATGCATGTGTTTGCAGGGTCTTTTCATCGATATTTAAATTAATGATTTGAAGAAATTGACTGTCCAGAGTAGAATAGTACATTTTGAAAAATGAATTACTGAAAAAAATCTGTGATTTTATCGTCTTAGAATTATCTCTGAAGATATTAGATAAAGGTGAAAAAGATCGAAATGATAAGTCAAGTTATTGTAGCTTTAACTAAACAAAGAGATAATTCCTTATTTACTCCACTAACAGCCCGACCGTAACTGCTACCTTGATGTGGTGGTTGGGCTTGCCTATCGTGATGACCCAACCGAGCTATATTGGCTGGAACATGTTTCTGAAGATGCTACTATGCCAGGTAGGTCGATTGGAGAACGATGAGACTAAAAGCAGCTACTCAAGGTCTGAGGGCGACGTCATACTGCTAACTGCTGAGGGGTGTGACAGCAGTATGGTGTTTCCCTCGGACAACCATTATCTGCAGGCTACCACCTTCGCCCAAGGAAGGGAGGGGTTAGAACGCTTGGTCCTAAAATTGTCACACCTCACCTCGTTGCACGGACTTTTGTCTCCGGCGGTAAGGTCACTTGAAGAACAGAGCTTACACTACAAACAGTTCTCATGCAAAGGCCGTGCGTGACCGGTCTCAAAGAGTTGTCCCCTGGGCTCTGCGGTCACGCTCCCAGGTCTCTAAGACCGACACTAACCTACACTCTTTTTCAGGTCCCTCAAGAAACACCCTTCCACGGTGTGGGCAGCCAGGAAGTGAAAACCGCCCTCATACCCGTAACAGAACGCGAGACCAAATTGGTCACAATCAAATCCTTCCTACACCCCCACACTAGCAGAATAAAGCTTTGAAATGTTAAATCCGAAATGATAAGAAATACATCATATTAATGACCAATAAATACGTTTTCTGTAGGTGTATCCAGTAATATTTTTGGAGCAAATAATAATAACTTTAACTGAAAATTTCAGGTTATCAACAAGATGGACATCACAATACTGAATGAAAGTGAAAACTTCTCATAATAACTAACTGCAATTAAAATTTCTAAGAGAAAATCATTTTAGGTTTTCTAAACGTTCTTGAAGTTCTCGAGTTAGTGAATTTAGAGAGAGACCATTAGAGAGCATTCAGCTTGAAAATCTTAACTTTGTCAATAATTTTTTGTCTAGTAAAAATAGGTTATCGCATTTTAATACGTGAGTACATACATAAACACGCTTTTGGGACTGACTATGCTTTCGGCATCAAACTGGTTTAATAGAATTTTTTTAGGACTACAGACTCAAGTACTATTCACTTTCTTATGGAGATGATCTACATTATAACATAAATATACATCAGGAAAAATTTTGGGAAAGTTAGACCCCCAGAACTCACTCGGAAAAGGTGCTAATTTTGGATTTTTGGTGTTTTCGCGTATAAGCTGCTCAGTTGACCTTAAGATTACATTTCTCACTCGGAAAATCCTTGACTATCATTGGTTGATGTATTATTTTAGTGCGCTATTTTTGTGGGTCTCCCAAGGACGTTTTTGTCATGTATAGATAAGCTCGATTTGTGTGCTTATCAACCTCATATTTTCTGGGTGCTTGTAGAATACACTTTCTACGCCTTTGCAAGACTTCTTGATATAGTTAGCAGGGCCTGGGACAATCGGATTAGAATAGCCTGTCGTGTCGGTGCATCATTTCTCTTCGCTCCCGTTTACTGAGTGAGGTGAACTCGTAATAGCATTCAAGCATATCAATTGACAAGTATATCAAAAAGAATATTGCAAATCAGAATAAATTATTTTACAATTTTATTATTCATTGTCTTATTTTTGAAAAAGCTGATAAAGTAATTAGTTAGAATAATTTTAGATTTCTGAAGACGTGACTAGATGAAACATCCGATTGTCAAATGGTTTGTATGATAAAAGAATCATAGTAGACTTGTTTATCTTGTGAGTGAAAAAACATATTCAATAGCTACGCAGTTGTTTTTACTATTCTTCTATTCATAATTAAAATTATTATCAAATATTACTCCCTAAAGATGTGACCATTTTTCAATATACCTCAAAGAAAGAGAAAAATTCTTCATTTACATTTTTTTTCTCTACAGATTTACGAAATCAATTTTCTGGTAAACGAAGTTAAACGCAGTTAGTAGTAACTGCAAAGGAGGAAACCAGAAATTACAGTAAAATAAACGTTTATTATGCTTGAAATAATGTTCACGAAAGACAATGAGGAAAAAATCTCATTTGAATAATTTCATATTTATATTTATTATAGTTTGGATATTTGGTGAAATATAGTATTTAAAGGACAATATTTATGCTGTAAACATTTCAATGATTTTCCAAGAAATTCATATCCAGTGGTAAAAATCTTGTGTAAATTTTTCTTTTATTATTCTTTTGAAATTTAAACAAAGCAGCAACCTAGCTCCAGTATTTTTGATTTATGTTTTACAATGGTTCTAGTGTGTGTTGAGCTCAAAAAAGGGACTTAGCTTTTAATTCCACTGCTAGAACAAGCATTGAATTATTGGCCATTCCATACTTATCTTTGTGAATATGTTGTTGATTTCTACTGTGTTGTCCTGAAAGTATTTCAATGAATAAAATCAGTTATTTGAGAAGAATTTATGATTTGTTGTGTACATAAGTACATACCAGGAAGAAGCGTATGATAAATGACTCATTTTTCTTTTATATTGAGTAATATTTTACAATATGCCCTTAAATACAGAGTTAAAGCTAACAAGTGTGCCTGATAATCACGCTTTAATGTATAGATTCATAAATGACTCCAGAGGCCAACATCTAACAATCAATGATATTTTAAATGGATTTCACTGTTGCATAGAGTAAACCATAAATCAAGTCCGTGGTTGAATACAAACATAAAGAAAATATACTGAGGTTTAATTAGTCACAAGGGTATTTTATACAATAGCTTGGGAAAAAATTGCAAATTTACTACCTGCAACTGGAAAAACTCATTAAACTGGACGAATTACAAATGAGGAAAAATTCAGGAATTCTGACATATTAATTTTTATCCATTAAGCATCCCACAGTATAGAAGTAGGGAAAATAAAGTGACAACTATAAAGCCCCATTAACTATCATGTCTTGATTTTAACGATTTATAAAGTAACGCACAAAACACCGATATCAAACACTTATTGACGGATTTTAAACATGTGTGAAATACCTTAAATAGACGTCCATAATTTCGTTATACACAGTAACTTATTTCATCGATATTTTAACATTTGTTTATTGATTGTTAGATTTGAAATAATTATTCGAACTTGTGAATAATCACGTTACTTGATTATAATCAAGTCAATTGATTGACCACAAACAAACCTTGCAATTTATGCAACACTTTCCATATTAACAGATTGGTAATCTAAATACTTGTGTTACAAAAGACTACACCTTCATCGAATCTGGAGAAGGTGAAAAAAAACATGAATCAAGAAGACATTGATTTTTACGGAGATCATGAATGTTATTACGACTAATTGTTTTAAATATTTACAAATGAAACACTAATACATTTTCATTCAAAACAACATGAAATATACATGTTTACTGATCATGTATCCTTTTAACATGGTATATATGTTATTCAATCTACCACATGTAAACAAACATTATACGTAAATGACATGAATTATTTTTGTTCTGTAGCAATAGTAGAAACAACATCCCCAAAAAAATGCGATATTATGAATATCATTCTTGAAATCAATACGTAGGAGATGTTTTGAAGATTATCAACAAACAAACGAGATAGATAAACAAACGGGATGATTAAAATTCACCAAAAATATATATATATATATGTTTATGACAAAAAATGTGTATATCAACTATCAATGGAACGGCATAAAGAGAGGTAGAGGAGTGAAAATGCAATTGACAATACACACTACCAATTCTAGTTTGTTTGTTTGTCTTGTTTGTTTTAAACTCTAAATAAACAAAGATGCTTTGTTACGAATGAAACATTCACACTAATCTTTATTTGAAAGAGAAAAAAAAAGTGGTAAACAAAGCGATTAATGGAAATAAATGAAACACATTGATACACACAAAAGTAATTAAATGATACAGCAAACAAATGGAAAGGAAAACATCGTTTTTTGATTGAATTATTACTTCTTTTTTTCTCTATCTTTCATATTCTTTTAAGTTGTTTACAATGTAATTTGCAAAAAAACTTTTCTATCAATATTATCTTTGTGAACAATCATACCGAGAAAAATAAATAATCAAGTGTACACAACGAGAATGTAAACTTGCTAATTAATAGTCGGCAATTTAGAAAATGATGATAATAATAATCAACATTCAGCCTAACTCATTTTAAAAGTTGACAAATGTATGCCAAAGAAAGTATATATATATATATATATATATATATATATATATAACCATTCTCACAGTTTACAACACAAAATACACGGAATCGACACAGAAATGAATCACAAATCAAAAATGAAAAATCAACAATGAAAACAGTGAAATGAAATTCAATCTATAAAATATGGAATTAATTTTCATTCATTATGAATATTATAATTATAATAATTATTATTATTATTGATAGCAGTAGTTAGAAAATTGCAGCAACTACAAAAATACTACTTGTATCAGTCATGGAAGTAAATGTACGAGTAGTAGCAGTAGTAGTACAACAGCAGCACCAATAACAAAAGTAATGAGCAATAATACTAATAAATGAAAGCTAACTGAAATCATTTAAAACTAAATAAAACTACTGGAGAAATTAAAATGAATACGCAAAACAAATATATATTTTTTGAAATTTGAATTCAAGCGACTGTAAATGAAATAATTGAATGCTGTTAAATCATTTTGTAGGTGAGATAATGTAATTTTTTTTTCTAAAAAACTGAAATAAATTTGAGGGAAGATGAGAGAATGCATTGGAAAATTTTATTATGTTGACGTTTTTAATTGGAGGTGGCAAGACTACTTTCTTCCATTACATGGATTCAGAACATAAGGGATAAGGGCAAGAAGATACCAATGTGAATGTGAAATTGTTAGCAATTTTATTCCGGTGGTGAAGTAGCTTCCACAGGTTTATCTGTTGATAATGATGAATCTTCTGCAATTGGCTTTTCAAAGTCTTCTGTTTCATTTAATGGAGCGGCTAAAATCAATTTCATCAAATGGGAACATTGTTAAGAATTATTAAGATATTTTCTATGATTATTTTATAATTGAATTTTGAAATATGGTTTGAATTATCTGGTTGTTGATATTTTGGCTGAAATTTGATCAATCGTAATTGACATACGAGCATCCTATGCAAATTGCCTCAATATAGTCATTAAGACACAAGTTTATATCAGAATGGATAGAATGTGGCTAGCATTGGAATGCAGGACATTTGATACAAACGATACTAGGTCTAAGTTTTGAAGTGAACATCAACTCTAGGATTTAGATTAGTCTAGTTTACGAGTTCAAAATGAGAAAAAACGCGCATTATGGACTACACTGCTAGTCGCATCCTATCTATTCTGTATATTATCCTATAGTTTAAAAGTTTCAATAACAAATAATGAGCAGACAATTGATTGCCTGACTATTATTATTTATTCAAAGTTTAATTCTATAAGTATTAAATAAACTCCTCCTGGATCCCTACTGGAATTAATTCTTATCTGAAGTCTGGATAAAGGAGAAAGTCTGAGCATAGGATTAGCTGTCTTATCCCGTAGAAAACAACTTTGAGGACAAGAAAGTATAATAAACGTACAGTTTCTAAAAGTTTAGCTTAAAGTATGGAGTCGAAATCGGCAACATTAAACAATAATTCAAATACTGAATCAAACTTCAGATATTTATAATTATTATATCATGACTGATCAGATTTTCATGGAGTCTAATTTGCATATTCATCAATATGTTTTTTAAAAAAAAACTAATTATCAGAGCTGTATGAAATTCATGGCAGACAATACAGAAATGCACAAACAAAAAAGTACTTTTACATTAATTTGTAAAAGAACGTTCTGTTAAATAAAACAACTAACTCTGATTACAGGATCGGGATTTATCTAAGCTCACTAACGAAGTACATTTGTTCACTAAAACAAAATACCGACGAATAGATGATTGTATTTTTATTGGTTACTGCTTTATAATACTCTAGTGGTGGGTGATATGAAATGAAATTTCATTTAGTTATTTCATTCCCAACTTAAAATTAGATATAAACTTCAAGGCATCTCATACTTAGTACTAGAGTTTTATTTGGTCACAAATATACCTATCCGATAAAACAGTGAAGAGTGATGTGTAAGTAAATATATTCTATGTCAGAACTGATCAGAATAGTAATGAACGTTTTATCAAAGTAAAATAAAGTGAGAATCTCAAATTTTTCAGTAACCCTATAAAATACATAGGAAGAGATTGAAGTGATTCCTACATTTTGAGCTATGTTACAAGTACTGTTTAATAAAATCATTTATTGTCAATCGGTACATTTAATAGTTTACCCTAGTTTTCGCTAGAAACAAAGTGTCAAATTTACACTCAGAAATTTACCCTAGTTTTCTCTAGAAATAAAGTGTTGCATTTATTTAAATTTACTTTTTAACTAAATATCATTATTCACTTACATAAATCATTACTAGGTTCCACATTCTGATCAGATTCAGATACTGTTGTATCATCATCATTTGGTTCATCTACGGTGAACACATCATTTCTGACTTCATCATTTGAAAATTCTGATTTATTTTCACTTGGTTCATTATTATCAAATGATTGTATTGTAGAAACAGTTGTAGCAATAGGTAAAGAAACTTCTATTACAGTAGAAACAGAACTTGACTTTCGTCTGTCTTCCTCATCTTCATCATTTTCTTCTTCTTCGTCGTCGTCGTCGTCTTCTTCTTCTTCCTCAACAACTTCTGTATTAGGACCAACTTCTTCTTCAATGACTTCAGCTAAAACTTCAGCAGACGGTGGAGGAGGAAATGGTTCAATATCTTCACTGCCTTCACTTGCTGATGTTGTAGATTCACATGGTGAGCATGGTCTGTTACTTGTGTCATCTTTATTTGATTCCTTAATGATCTGTGTCAAATCAATTGCTGTACTGTCAGTTGTGTCTATGATACCAGAGAGATTTTCATTATTTTCTAGTATATTTGAAATTCTTGTTCCATCATATTCATGGTCATCATCAAACGTGACTTGTTCTGATGAACTATAATCAAGACATTTGTTTACTGAAGAAAGTAATCGATTTTGACTATGATCATCATCAACATCGTCAATTTGTGTTGATTCAGCAACAACCTATCCACATACAAAAAAATAACAAACAAATCATTCTAATTAGAAAACGTTTAATAATTAATTATCGATGACCGAAAATCAATCAATCATAAGCCGATTGTTACAAGTTTAAAGTTGTATGCTTAGATTTTGTTGAAGCTTGTGGCGTTAGACTTTTGTTATCTTCGAGTTCCCGTATATCTACGGGACATTGTGTGTAGTCTTAATGAAATGAATATATCTACAAGATGATGCTTTGGTTATTCAATATTGGTCAGAATTGGGATATTACTATCTTGTTTGATTAACTACCTGAATAAATCTATCGAGCAGAAGAACAATTTTTGTCACTTTGAAAGCGTTTAAAAACTAAAATGAATAGGAAAACTGGATCTTTTTTGAATAAAGAGGAAAAGTGTGATATATTCTAAAAAAATTACATGTATATAAATATTTTTGGCTCTCAAGTTATTTAGCTATATAACTAAACAGATCAATATATGTCCTAATGTATAACAATTTGCTTATTTCGTAGTCGAAGACAATCAACTTGAAGCCATGAACATAAATGTTGTTATTGTTCGACGTCTATTAACTAGGCGAATCAATGGCTGTGATACTTCAGAAGGCAGTTTGCAAACTTTAATCGATAGAATTCGGTCGAAGCTAAGGATATAATTGTTACGCTCGTCTCTAGGTATGCTTAAATTATCATGAGTTCACCTTAGTCGAATAACGAGAACAAAACTATGAACCAGCTTCAACTGTGATCCCTTGACCAAACTGTATCAGCGAGAAGTCTTGATATAGTGTAGAAATTGTATTCTACACACACCCAGCCAGCACACAATCAATTCAAGCACTCAAATTGCGTTTATTTATACTCTATAGAGATGTCCTTGGGACAGTCACAAAAATAGTACACTAAAATGATACAATAACCAATCATAGCCAAGGATGTTCCTGGTGGGAAATGTGATCTCAAGGTCAACTGATCGGCCCATGAAATAAATCAAAAATAAAGATATTTATCAAGCGAGTCCTGGGGATCTAACATCCCCAACAATAATAATTTCATGTTATGTATTATTCAAGAACTATTTATGTAAAGGTTACTTTGAAAATAATCTGTTTACCCTGAATTACAACTTATTTAGACAAACATGATATCTTATTGACGTGCCTATTTCGGAATAAAGATTTCAATATGAATATAAAGCTAACCTCATCTAATAAATCGATTGCTTGCTTCACCATCAGATCAGCTGATTCATCAGTTCGATCACTGGCAGGTAGAAGTGTATAATCAACAGGAGGTGGACATGTTGGTGGGATTGGAGGCAGTTGACCTGCTTTATCATCAGTCAATTGTGTTGAATCACTTTTTTCTGTGTAAATAATATCTGATTGGATAAGATTTTCATAAATATTTGAACTCTATGAAAAAATAACGGATATATGTTAAAATATATGCTTTTCATATAACACTATGGTCAATCATGCGAAATATTATTTTCGTTTATTGTATATATGTACTTTTTCTATAGGTCAATAATAACCATAGATTATTTACCGGTTATTATCAAGAATTTACTTCCTATCAAGATAATAAGAAAATCAAATAACACTAGTGAATTGTGAAAAGAAGAAATACCAAAGTAAAATTAGGCTACTTTGTAGTTGATAATTGTTTAGGTAAATGCTAATAATTTTGTTCTAATCTACTATGACCTAGGGAAATGTGAATTTTGATTTTTCGGTTCAATAGTATACTTAAGTATATAGTGCTGTTAACAGAGCTGTCATGGTTTATTTTACGTTAATTATTTAATGAAGTGATAGATTGAGGATAAATCACCTGTCCAGTATGCTCCAATTTTCTGGTGGTTCTTTAACGAACACAAAGAGACAAATGGAAAACACTTTCAGTTCATCAGAATAGTAGCAATACAAAGCAGTAAAGTCATTAAATTGAATAAAACTGTAATCAACTGTTTCACCGAGCAGACGGCATGATTTCATTTGATTTTCTTACTATACTTTTCGTTTTATGAATAAATACGAAAAAATATATATATTTCAAGTTAAAAAAAACAATAGTTCGATATATTCTCGTTAATCTATTCATTTATTCTATAAAATACAATGAGATAATTAATTTTAAATTGATCAGAAAAAGAAGAAAATAAACTTACCTGATGATGTTTAATAGCTGATTGTTTTTCATCATCATTAGACAATTGTTGTGAACTGGATGATTGATCAGTATCTTGTTTTTCATTAATCACTTCTAAATTATACTTAGCGACATTTGATTCTAATGAATGTAAAACTGTCGGATGCGTAGATTCATGGACTACTGGTTGTTGAGATTCAGTAATCAGTGTAGTTGGAGTGGCGCCTAGAGTTGTTGGTGTAGTAGCAGTAGTTGATGTTGCTGTTGTTGCAGGCGAAAGTTTCATCATGTCAGATTGTTTATGCGTTGGCGATTGTTCATCCACATCTTGATAATCAATTGCTGCTTTATTAGTGATAATTAAAAGATTATCTAAAAACAAAAAATAAAACGCATTTATCACCGTAGTTAAGTAAATTATTAAATTTTGAAACCATGAATCGATCAGTCATTGTTAGACAACCATTAGAAACCTGGAAGTACCGGACAGCCGTTCCATCCTGGTATGGGACTCATCAACAGTGCGCACCCACGACTCCTGCACCCCACAGGATTCGAGCCCAGGACCTTCGGCATTGTGCGCGAACGCCTAACCATCGGACCACTGGGCTGGCATCCAAGGGTGTTCATGTCTAACTCTGATTGATCTACGGATTTTTGCGCGATCTTGCCCATTTGTCTTTGGTAGTTACTGCCTACACCCGAACAGGTTGAACTTCACTGGTCACTACTTTCCACTAGAAATCGGGGAAGATTCCTCACGAAGCTAGTCACTAGTGAGCACAGGTAATTGCATTACGAGGTTGTGAAGATTGTGGGGTGCAGGAGTCGTGGATGCGCACTGCTGATGAGTCCCATACCAGGACGAAACGACCGTCCAGCGCTTCCAGGTTTCTAATGGTTTGTGGAACCTGATGAGAATTTATCGAAAAGAATGGGAAATTTTAGAGGTACAATATTATTGAATATTCAAAAGCATAGGAGCGAAAAAAAGAGCATTGATGAATGATTGAAATTGAAATTAATCCTATTATCACAACAGTTATGATTTGTAAAATATCATTGACATTTTTTAATCAATATTTGAACGTTAGTGGTGGAGATTTGTGTTAAAGACATTAAATTCATGTGCTTATGTTTGTCAATCATTAGGAAAATATCTGAAGTAGACATATTTTTTATATGATTTATACATATTAGAATGTACACCATTAAAATTAAGCTCACTAGTTAAAGGTCTTGTGACGGAAACTGAGAATCTTGGATCCAGTTGCTGGTGAGAGAATGCACTGCTGACATGGCATGCTCTAGAACGAAATGGCTATTCAGTTCATTCAGATTTTCAGTGGTTCTGTAACTCACAGCAGTGTGTAATCTTCATAAAGCCAGCAATGATAGCGTTGTAGAAAGTTTTTCTTCTAAATCACATGTCTTATCAAGTCAGTTTGTATATTTCCGTTACAAAACATGATTCTATGACTAGAAAACATCTGTACCTCTTAATGGATTTAAACGGGTTTTTATTCACTAGTAACTTTGTACATATTGAACCTAGTTTTACGTACCTTAGCAATAAACATTCATTTTTGCTTAAATAATTGACAATAAGTAATAAACATGAATATATATATTTTGGGGCAGAGTTTTGGATGTTTTTGTGTTTTTACACATTTGAAATCATCAATCAATCATTGTTAGACAACCATTAGAAACCTGGAAGTACTGGACGGCCGTTTCGTCCTGGTATGGGACTAATCAGCAGTGCGCATTTACGACTCCTGCACCTCGCAGGATTCGAACCCGGGACCTTCAGTATTGTGCGCGAACCCTGTCGGGTGTAGGCAGTAACTACCAAAGACAAATGGGCGAGGTCGCGCAAAATCCCTAGATCAATCAGAGTTAGACATTAACATCTTTGGATGCCGGCCCAGTGGTCCGATGGTTAGGCATTCGCCTACAATACCGAAGGTCCTGGGTTCGAATCCTGCGAGGAGCAGGAGTCGTGGGTGCGCACTGTTAATGAGTCCCATACCAGGATGAAACGGCCGTTCAGTACTTCCAGGTTTATAATGGTTGTCTAAAGATGATTGATTGATGATTTCGAATATATATATGTATGGAAGGATAAAACGATTGGGAAAAGTTACAATAAAGCTAGAGAAATAAAAAAAAACACAAATATTTTCAAATCCCTTTGGACTATCAGATTTTGTTTTTACAGAATATGACTGAAAAATCACTAGACGAAAATATTTTTACCAAACTTGAATTAAAATGACAGAAAACTTCATACATATAGGAAATCATTTTCTACAGGTTTCATTGATCGCCTATGTTTTCCTGGATTTAAAACAAACCGAACAAACCAATAAAAAAAATTATATGACGCTTAACGTTTACTGATAAACCAATGTCAGTATTTCAATCAATATGATTTAAGCCAATAACTATGGCTTCAAAACAGTCAGAGAAACGTTTTACTTCAAAATTCTCTGATAAGGCATTAAAAAAATTAGTGGGTTGTTGAAATTTAAAACATGTAAAAAAAATATCGAAGCTAATTTTTCTATTTGAATAAATCAAAATACAACAGACATAAATCCATAGTTCACAAGCGTTCACTACATATAGCTGCTATAAGTTATAGAGATAATTAGGACCATGCTGTGTGATAGGTTATTTTTCAGTTAAAAAAGATGGTTAATACCTGTCATAAATCAATGTAAAAGCATCTAACTGTACAGAACTTTAGTCAGATTATTTCCTATGAGTATTCTGGTCACATGTTTCTATCCTTTTGATTAAACTTCTATAATACACTCTCTGTTATTCAAAAAGGTAAGAGCATATCAACTGACCAGTTACACTTGATTCCTCTTCTTTATCAACAGTAGATAATAGACTTGGTTGGTTGGTTTCCGGTTGATCGGATTTTGGTATTTCATTTGATTCCTTAGTAGTTTTGTCATTGTTGGGTGTTGTTCCATTTGATTCATGATGTCCACTATGTTTATGCCGACGATGATTGTGATGATGTTTATGACTTGTTTCATGCTTTGAACGATGTTTTCGATCCACTGAGTTCTGTTCATCTTTCCTTCCCTTCCGTTTATGAGATGAGCTTGACTCCACATTTACTGAATCTAATCCATCGCCCATTGTTTCTGTAGCTCTGGGAATGAAAAATATAATAAAACAAAAATTAAATGAGACGTGGAAGTCCAATCCATTCCTATTTAAATTAAAAGTAATTAAATCTGCAATTAAAAGGGTTATCATGTTGATGGAAAACATTCTAAGTTGTTCAAAAGAGCCACTCACTTTGGCTATTTTGAGATTAATTTCCATATCAAAACGTCAGAAACGTTCTTTAAGTATGTTTGCTCCAATTTATTTACGAATTCAAACAGTCAGATGGAGTCAGTTAACTAGAACACAATGAGAACTCTTAAAACTTGCAAAAGTCATCTGTCATTTGCTAAAGAAGAAATACTACTAGGTCTCATTGAGATGATACTAGACTCATGGTTGATATGTTTAGAGTTGTAGTCACGATAACCGCATAGCCAAAAACATTAATATGTGATGAATTGTACTAAACTAGTTTAGATGCCAGAAATCTGACTTCAGATTTTACGAACAGTTGAAAATGTTATAAAATAAATTTCTCATCTAATTGCCCCATTTTATATTTAGGTTAAAACCCTTTTGTGCGACGGCAGTAATTAGGTGCTCGATACAGTTTGTTTTGTATGATTTTATTTCATACATTTGCTTAAGTAGACAGACAATAAAGACAAGCGTAAAGCAAAGCGAAGTAAAGAGGGAAGGAGAGTGGGTCAACTAAATGTGATTAGGGCATGACTAGGTATTTATAGTCAAGCGAGAATAAGCCAAACAAGTAATAGGCGAAATAATCAATGCATACACATAAATAAAAACAATCATGATTATAAGCGAATAATCTAAAAGCTCACAAGAGTTTTGAATAATAACTTGAGAAGAATGGAATAATTAATTTGTCCAAAGGTCCGGACAAGCCATGTGGGCTTGACATATTAACATACTTCACCAGTTATGGAGATTGATAGGATCAAGCTGAAGCATTGCAGATACAGTCTTTGAGGTAGATTTCTGGCTTGGAGATATAAAAGTATTATCTCAACCAGTAGATCATTATTTCCTGAGTCCAATCGTCAGTAAACACTGCTGAGGCAAATCTAGTTACGTTTACAGAATCTCTGGAACCAACATCGATTTGTCAGTTACGATTCATGCAATCGTCAGTTTAAACCTTTTTAAATTATTGTGTCCGCATTTCTCAAAGAAGAAATGCTACGAATTTCGATGCTATTGACATTTACATAAAATGAATCGCTGGTCCAATATATTGACATATCAGTAACAATAGTAATATTCTTAATACTATTTAAAATAATGATTCACAAAGTAACTAACTGTTGTATGGGCTAATTTATTGAATTACTTTCAACTCAGCGGTTTAAATCAGTTGTTTTTCTCAGTTCAATCAATAGTTTTGAAACCACCTAGGCACATGTTCTATAATCCTTGATTGCAATGTCCGATTACTCTTCCCTGTGCACTTATGTCCACACAAATATGTAAACTGATAAATGCAATGGGAATTTACGTAATCACTCGTGCAGTGTCTAGGCATATATGGAATCAAAGGTCTACTCCTTTCAATTATATCCAGTTAAGCAGCATAATATGCTTTCTCGATTGCTGCTTTTAGTCTCTGTTTTTAAATCAACCTGTTAAATTCACGATTAAATGATAAAGAGGTATAAACTTATCTTTTATTAGAAGAATTAATGAAAGGTTTTTGTATTAACTGACTTTTACACCTATTTATAAATTTCACTGGATAACCGTTTGAAATCACTGTTTCAGTCAAGAGTTTAGCATCGTCTCCAAATGTTGCTGTGTTACATTTTCTTTGAGTCCCATTGAAGAGGCATTTTACTAAGACTCGCTTGTTTTTGCAGTGGAAAAACCTGTGGAAATTTAAACATTCTCCAGTCCAGATTGACGTTACTACAGGTAGTCCTTTGGGACCTCTCTTGTCTGATATGTATACGGCATATGTTGAAAATATGTTGAGTGAGGTAATCAGTGAAATAACTCTGTACAGGAGATATATGGAAAATACATTAGTTATATGTGATAAAGATTTCAAAGTTACTCAGTTACTAGACAAATTCAAGGGTGCACAATGATATTGCACTGCCCTATGTGGGAGAAGACAATGACTGATTTGCCCCCTTACAACGTACTGTTGAGACGAAGGAAGGATGGAAATATAAAGCTGTCAGTGTATAGGAAACCAATTTGGACCTAACCTGTGTAGTGAGATTGCTTGAAATGCATTGTACTAAAATATCACAATTTTGATCATCTTTATCTTTTCATTATGCTATCCAAATATATCAGATGGATAAACCCAATTCTATACTAATTTGTGTCATAATGGCTATATATATATATATATATATATATGTATATATATATATATATATAGATATAGATATATATATATATAGACGTTCCATGCAGGGGGACATATATCAAATCAGATGAATCGAATTTTCATCAAATATATCAGCTATGGGATAATCAAATCTATTTTAAAGGTGAATAGAATATTTTCAATTTTGCTTTTTTATCTTTTGAAAATCAAACTTAGTGCTCCAAATATGTTTGAGGTAAGTTATTTAAGAGTAGAAAAATACAATCAAATAGGTAAATGACAGAAAATAATTCAATAAACCTACCCTTTATTCATAGCGGTTCCTATTGTTTGATTAGATTTAATGTTAGACTCTTGATTAGTTTCTTGAACTTCATTTGATTGTTTTTCATCATGTTTGGTTGTTTTCCTTAAACGAGATCGACTAGCACTACTATGACTAGAACGAGATTTGGATAATTTGTGAGATGCAGATCTTGATAATGTTTTACGATGATGTAAACGATGTTGTGAATGTTTATTGTCATCATTTTGTTCTTTTGGTAAGAGTATATCATTAGTTAACTCTGAATGTGTAATTTTTGAATGACTCACATTAATATTATCTTTGTTGGGAATATTTTCAGTAGTGTTATCATTATCATTATCATCAACTTCACGTTCAGCAGCATTATCATCAACAAAATAATTTTCATTTGATTTCGTTACATTTAAAATAGGATTTGATAAACTAACATTGCCCATAGTTAATAATTTTTCATTTAAACGTTTCACTTTAACTAGCTTCTCTGTTAATGCACGTTGTTTAGCTAATTCGTGTTTTAATTTACGTTCTTGTGATTTTAAATTAGATAAAAGTTCTTTTTGTGAATTTTTAACATTGGATAACTTTTCAGTTGAAATTATAGATGATGGTGAATAGGTTAAGTCAGATTTTAGAAGATCAGTTTCATTCAATGAAATTTTCTCTATGGATTTACTGCTTGAAGTTGTCGATTCATATTTATCATCACTAAATTCATCTGAACGATAATGTTTGTGATCTTTACCAGATTTATGATGATGATGATGATGATGCTGATGACGATCACGGTGATGTTGATGATGATGATGGTGAGGATAATAAAGTGATGAGTGTTTACCAGATGAATGATGACTATGACTATGATAACGATGATGATCTGAATGAAGAGAACGATGACGTTCTGAATGCTTGTGTAAATGATGACTATGATCTCGATGTTCTGATGCATGACGTTTGTAGTGACCATCTCTTGATCTTGAAGTACAACGATGACAATAACATGGTTGATGACGATAGTAATCATGATGTTTATGAAAGAAATTTGGTCGACTATGATGAGATCTATGTTTATGACGAGGATATTCACAAGATGAAGAAGTGAAAGAGGATGAAGAATAATCGTCGTAACCATGTCTATGAACATGTTCACATGAACAACCTACACTTGGAGTGTAATCATAACCAGAAAGCATAGAATATGAACTTGCTGAAGTAGATAAGTTAGAACTGAATGATAAATCTGTACTACCTGGTTCAATTGAATGACATGAAAGAGGAAGTGATGGTGAGTGTGATCTTGGAGAACGTTGATTTAAATTGCCTTTGGATTGTTCATTTGCTAAATCTGATTTTATGTCAACATTATGTTCAAGACTTGAATCAACTGCTCCGTTTATTTCTGTATACTGCTTAACTTCCTTCTCTATTGATTGAGTATCTGTATCTTTAGATACTCCTTCTTTAATGTGAACAGCTTGACTTTTCTCTATCCATTCTTGAACTTGTTTCTTACAAACTTGTGTTTCTTTTGTGTCTGGTGCTTCAATAGTTTTTTCAACACTTGTACTTTTAACATTTGTTATCATTTCATCTTCTGATTCTGAATCTAAATATATAGACGTTTGTGGGTGTACACCTAAAAGAAAATACATGATATTAAGAAAAATTTATTGACTGAAAAAACTAAAATAGTGCAAACGAATTAAGATTGTACAATAAAATATTAATAAAGCTTTTGAAAATAAACAGTGCAATAATATAGTCAGGTCGCAGCTGACTAAACATCTGTTCTTGAATAGCTCTTTTTTTAAATTGAAAATAAGTAGTGAGTTATTCATGCAATAATAATTCAAGAGTTAGTAAACTCTAGGCGAATTCGAAAATGTGAATAAAATAAATTAATAACAGCTGTCATTATCTTATCGTCTTACTGAAATGCTTAAAATGTGTCCTGTTTTCTTGTAGATATGCTTTATTTGTACACATTGGATCTGTTATTTGATCAACATGTGATTTCATTGACATTCCTCAGTTTTCCGAACCTCGTACTCACAACTACATGTGTACACTAGTAATTAACGTCGAGAGGAGACTTTCGGAGTTCTAATGAAAAATCGTGATCAATGGAGCTCAGTCGTGTAAACTGTGAAGAAGGTATTCACCGAAGACAGTGGAAAGTACTTCTACAATATCGTGAATTGATGGGAGTTATAAATCACTCGATCCTAGCTTAGTGGTTTGGAGGTTACGCGTTCACTCAACAGACCGAAAGTCTTGAGTGCGATTCTTGACTGCAAGTTCGTGGATGCGCACTAATGGGGAGGGGTTCCATACTAGGACAGAGCAATCAGCTGAGTTTTTAACGGTTGTCTACATTGAAACGAATTTTAGTTATAAGGTTTAGTCATTAATAATTTGATTATCCACACATTGTGCTTATCTATCCTATAACATATCTGACTTATCGGTGATTTAATATAGTGAAATCAATAAAACACTCAGTACTTAAGCATATATTTATAGTGCCTAACGATTAGTTAAAAAAAGTTATTGACAAACTATCATTAGTTGGCTATTTGCAAAAGCTTCATTCGGTGGAATCATAAGTTCCTGCCTGATTTCTTTTGAAAATATTGTTGACTTTGTATTACATTCACAGGGGAAATAATAAAGTAGACTTGATTTTCAGTCAATACAAGTGAATCTTAACAACTTCCAAAATGTTTATAAATTATTTGACATTGATTATTATGATAGAAACAAACAGGAATTTTACGAAGTAACGATCATTTAAGTTATTCATCATTATTACTGCAATGGAATAAATTTCACCGTACATTCTACTCAATTAATGTTTATTTGTTTTAAATATGTTAATAATAATTTGATATTTCTTATTATAGGGTTGTGAAGATTAAGTTTCATTGAAAGCATGAATCATTCAATGTTAGATTATCATAGGAAATCTGGTCTAACATTGACTGATTTATGATATGAATAAAATTAGTACCTAAGCAAACAACTTCACAAAGTAGGGAACTGCAGTTAACATGACAATTGTTTTGACCGATTTTTTTGAATGATAGCTATCGTGAATAAGAGTTATTTTTAACGTTACATTTTATGGTTGGTTGTTCAATGTCAAAAGTAATGAGAGGTGTTTATCTTCGATCAAGAGACTGGACTCTCTATTTACTTTTTAAATGATGTATGGTTAATTATATGAGCTTTATTAACTCCTTGAAATATTCAATAAAAATCATGCTAATTAAAAAGAAAGTCATAATTTAATTTACGCTAGTAATGCTAGTAATCACAAATTATACAATTATCAAATCTAACCTGATATCGAATCATATGTTGGCATAATGTTTGAAATATCTTCTTTTCCTGTGGAAGTAGTTAACTTTGCTTCTTCAGTTGCATTAGAAGATTTCGTTGATTTATCTGTAACTGTATTAGTTGTAGTAGTAGTAGTAGTAGTAGCAGCTGCAGTAATTGAAGTAGTTGTAGTAGGACTGGTAATGTAATGAGAAGATAATACTCGATCATTTGTCACATCTGCTGGTTTAGCTTTATTCTGTAAGCGAGTTTTATCACCAGCCTAAGCATTCATGTACAATAAAAAATAAAATAAAATTTAGGATGACATATTTTAAAATTATCTAGTCATTGTATAGTATCTCTAATTCTAATATACACTTTTATACACTATGTACTTTGTAGAAGATTAACTGTAAAAATGCTTTTCCCAATCGATAGAACAGAAAAAAGAGGTTGATCATGTTTTTTCAATGTTTGTTTTGAACACACTGTTACTACCTTACTAAAAACCAATTAGATGATGATCAAAGTTGTTGTCCATTGGGAATCTAATATATTTGAGTAACACTGTTAGTTGACTAGTCTTAAATAAGTAATATATATTAAAGTAGAATACTTGAAATAAAAGTGATGAAGCATAATTTTTTAAAACCATAATTGCAAAGATAAACGATTCGTTAAGAGTTTGCAAAGTTTTAAGCTAATTTACTCAAAACTAGACTGTTTAAACAAAAGAAAGCCTGTTTCTTGTTAGACCACCTTCAAATAAGAACATAAAAATGCCATAGTTTGCTATCATTATTCTTGATTTGTGATGGCATCACTGAAATCAATTCATAGTAATTTGTAAAATTGTCAGGTCGCAGCTGATTAAACATCTGTTCTTGAATAGCTTTTTTTTCATTGAAAATAAATAGTGAGTTATTGATGTAATAATAATTCAAGAGTTAGTAAACTCTAGGCGAATTCGAAAATGTGAGTAAAATAAATTCATAACAGCTGTCATTCTCTTATCATCTTACTGAAATGCTTAAAATGTGTGTCCTGTTTGCTTTATTTGTACACAATGAATCTGTTATTTGATCGATATGTGATTTCGATGAAATTCAACAACCTCATACCCATTTTATTTCGTTCGTGCTGTGTTGCAAATCATGATCTTCAAAAATTAGAAAGAAAAAATCAATCAATACCACCAACTGAAATTCATTTTCTACTTTGTGTCTAGTTTATGTCTACAGTTAAACTAATAATATCTTTGGTTAATGCTTATCTAATTAATCATGCATATACTTAAAGAATGAAGAAAAAACCACTTGTATGTATATCATTGAAGCGGAGAAAAAAACCTTTTTTTGTTAAGATTAATTATGTTTCAGAAAGTTATTGAACAGTTAGTTATCTTTATTCTTTTCTGAGAAAAAGTATAAATAAATATTGTTTTATATGTATGTATATATGCATATATATCTTTTATAACACCAATACAATAAGGCACATACACCGCTGATTACTTCATACTTTGTGTAAACTACTTTTACTTATGGTTTATTTAGGTTCATGCATAAAGAGAATTTTAAAAACAATAATTTTATTTGTCATCTAAAAATTTCGGTATCTGGATTTTCGTGTTAATCTTTATTGACGATAGATTTTTTTTCGTTTACAGAATGATAGTTTTAATATTGAACACTGTATATTTAAGCCACCTATACAAACACTTAGTTTTAGAGATCAGTAATAAGTAAATCGATAAAACTAGTCTTCAGATTTAGATATATTTATTTCTGAAAGATTAAGGTGGATAGGAGAAATTCAATTTCGATTGGTGGAGAAGAATTCTCTTAGTTGAACTTAATTAATTCAGGAAAAATTAGTTTAATTTATTCTCACTTACAAAACGATTTTAAAAAAATCATAGAAACATTACTGTATTTACTCGTAAGTTATGCAAAATAATCGACTTAAGAACATTCAGTCGAATTAAGCTTCATGCCAGATTTTATTCACAACTGTTGAGTACTGTTGATGAAATATATACTATGCAAGATAATCTGAAAAACATACCATTTTAGATTCCTTCGCATCTGCATCTGTAGACTGTTTATTATTGTTCGATTGACTTGTATTCAAATATGGCCGATTTGTATCCACAATGAATCCAGCAGATCGTAAGTCATCTCTTAGTTTTTCAAAAGTTTCTTTTGGATCCTATTTAATGAATAAATGAAAGTTAGAAAAATTTAAGTAAATATTGAACAAAAGAAACGATATACAAACCCATAAATTTGATGATTATGTAATGCGAGAAATTTTTTAACTCAATTCTAGTAAATTTAAATTTGAATGGTACATGTATGCAATTTGCAACGAAGTTATAAATTGCTTATTTTTTGCTAATTTTGTTTAAAAAAAACATAACAGTATTTAAAGCAATACATTGAAAAAGAAAATGCAAATTCACTTGTATGGCATGAGCACTAATAAAAGCATTTCCATAATTTTAATTTTTATTAAAGATCAAACGATGTGGAACACTTTAGGAGGCTTAAGAACAATTTCCTTTATAAAAGTGGCTAAAATTAATCACGAAAACATGGTATAACATGACTCAAAACCAATTGATCTCATTTATAAAACTTGGCAACTTGATAATATATTTGAAACATTAAATTATTTTCAACAAAGAATGTATTTGTTTGGTTCACTGTGATAATAAAAAAAAAGTATTAAAAATGGTATAGTAGTTTAGCCCGAAGTTGAGTTATCAGTATGCAATCAATGTAGATACGACTTTTCACATCTTACCTACTGGCGAATACACAGAACCCTTTCAAAAGAAGAGACAAAGACCGATCTTTATCTTATTCATAATTCAATTAGTATTGACTTATAGTAGTATGTACAGCACAAGCTGTGTAACTTGTAAATGCTGCTAAAATCAAAGTGTTTCTCAATCGAATTATGAAATTGGATGTCTTCCAAGATTGTTTGCTAGTTTAAAAAGTAATCACTGCTTGTTTGTTTTTTGCGTGAACTATTTCTTTTGTAAAAGGACTGAAAAAACGGTTAAAATAACACACTGAAAAAGAAGATTCATTTTAGTAAATAAATTAAGAAGCATATAAGGTCAAAAAACGTTTAATTTCAATGCTTTAATTAAAATGATACTAGAATACTAAAATAGTTTCTTTGGAGTAATAATTACCAAATGTCACGAATTAAATTAGCGCCTAATCTTTGTTGCTAATCATCAAAATCTCTCAGTAATTTGCATATTCTTTAAAAAAATATCAAGAGTATACTTGGTAAAGAAGATTATTAAACTAGAATCTGATAATTAAATAGACATAAATGAAAAAAATAAGTTTCTCACAAGTTTACTTTAAATAACTGTTCAATGGTGAATAAAACAACCGTGTTATAGTTTTCACTAGTAAGTATTCAATTTTTTGAAAATAATTACTTGTTAGTATATTGTAGTAATTAAACTATTACATAATTCAAACTATATGCTTCCTGTTGTACATGATCGTTGAAATAGTTGAGGATGTTAGATCCCCAGAATTCACTCGATAAATGTCTTCATTCTGGATTTTATTCATGGGCTGAGAGATCACATTTCCCACCAGGAAAATCCTTGGCTGTGATTGGTTGCTGGATCAGAGTAGCCTACTGTGTCACTGGTTCATTGGCTTGTTCTCGTTTATCGACTAAGGTGAACCCGTAATCGTTTCAAGCATATCAAGTAACGAGCATAACACTCAGTTTCCTTACTTAAGTGTATAAGTTATTTTTTCACTAGAGTTATAACTAGTGCCAATATCCGAATAATTCAATTACACTAGACTGTAAATGTCACGGTTTACTATTGAAGGAATATTAAATTTTCATAAATAAAATTTTAGAATAATCAGTCACAGAGAATTAATTTACTGTTTTACCAATCTGACTATGATATAGCTTAGTAATCAAATGTTCAGTCAAGAGAAATACGTTGACCAATATCTGATTTTCAAATTAACGACGAAAAAACTGATGTACAACATACATATCTTTGTGATAATAATGTTTAAATCCCTCAAAATAATTAACAGTAATTTGGACAGTGTTTAAGAAACTGTTTTGAATTCATTTTTATATCATATACAATTTTCTCGATTAAAAATTCATCACGAAAATTCACCTCAATAATCGGGGACGTATTCTTTCTGAATAAACTGATTTTAATCCGTTGAGTAATGACAATTCAATGCACTTTCAGGGGGGTCACCCTAACTGACAATGATAGATTCTGAACTACGTTGCCAAAAAAAGCTGGTAATTATAATATTATTTCGCTCATATAGTACTCATTTAATTTTTTTATTCTAATAATTTCAGACTAGAATCAATCAATATTCAGTAAATATTTTCGATTTCTTAAAATATTCTCTAAATTTCCCACTTTGATTACTAAGCCATCATTATCTAAAAAATCTCTTTACTTAATCCAGAATTTCCCTAAGTCTGTTTTTTTTAAAAAAATAATGATTTTCTAAATAAGACTGCTACTAGAATAGATAACTAAAAGTTGGCGAATTATTCAAGGTTAATTAATTCTATTTTTGTTATGATTATGCTAAATATAAGTGAATGAATAATTAATGTTTAATCGAATAGTTTTTAGAGAATTACTCAAAATACCAATAGGACAAAAAAAATATTTGAAAGCAATTTATAGAGCAATACGATAAGCACTGGGGGGAAATAAAATCAGTTGGTCAGTCTAGAAAATTCACTAATCGAACGACTGATTGGATACTAACTAGATACAGTATAATAACAAATATTAAGCTAAATTCTTAATAATTTTTTGACAGAAAACAATGTAAAACAACTTATTTGTAGTTTCTTTGTTAATCTACGTTCTCTATAATTGTGTAGACTACGTCACTGTAAGTAAAAGTGTATAAAATATCGTACATACATTCGGCCTTCATTCAAAATATTGTATACACTTATTGCGTTTGTGTCATTTATATAATCTGATTCAATGTTCATTCTTAAAATAACTATTCAATATAATGCCAAGTTGCTAGTATTTACATTATTGTTTTTTATGAAGAAAGATATTCAATCAGTTTTTCCTTACCAAAAAAAAGTACTGCAGAAAGTTCAAGTTGAAAATATTTTGAAACATGCGTGCCTAGAATTCACTGGATCAATTTAACTAACATAACATTTGTAGAAACACAATCGTTAACATTTCCCCTAATATATTTTATTCCAGTATATACGTACACATTTACCTTTTTATAACAATTAATCATTGACTGGTGACTTTTATCATGTTAGTTTAATCTTTAACGTTAACCGAATTCAATCAATCAAATTACGATGTAGTCACTGGACTAAGTAAATCAGTATTGTGTATACTATATTTTGAAGTAAGATGGTTAAAGATAGTCTGCAATGGATTAAAACTAAGCTGATCATAATTTAGGAACTTTTAGGAATGATTAGTATCTTCAATCCATATTCAGTCAATAAAGATTTCTATCAGTTAGTATTTCAATATATAATACATCTCAATATATTTAAAGAATAGTCCCTGGGGAAAATAAACCAAACATTAAACTGTATCTGTTTGACTTTTTGAACAATATGCATCGCAATCATTTGTAGCTTCTTTATAAATAGTGAGTGAGTGCATATTACTTAGGATTTATAATTTTATTCAGTTTAAAGGCATTCAAAAAAAAAGATAGTTGGATTTCATTATTTGCACAAAAAAAGAATAGGCGCCTCAAAAATTTGAGCATGATAGCCTAAATTATCAGTTGAACTGTTTAAATCACTTTAAAATCGACGCGAGAATTAATCAATTTTTTCGTGTCTCATTTATACTTTTCTATCATTTCACCCTATTTCAACTGTGAAATTTAATCAGAAGAAGATATTAGAATACAACTATTGTTATAGCCTATGACTGATATATGTATGATCTTAAATCATTGATAAAATAACGAACATTATATGTTCGTTATGGTCAATCATAACAATACGCGAACGTACACCTCTTCATTGGCTCAACTAGAACTTTTGTTATAATTAAGTAATTAAAGTTTACAATGATAAATCAGGTCATGTTGTTTCAATGTGGTTGACTCTTAGAATGAAAAGAAACAGGATGATCTTTTTCCAGTAATTCGATTCGGAAAGAGGAGAAAAACAAGAAACTAATCAAATAAAAGAATTCTGAGTTTATTGTGTTGAATGCTCGGGAATATTTCTACAAACAATTATCTTTTAAAGTTGAATGTTTAAACTTACAAGAGTTTGTAATTCATTAATGAAATCTCTATCTGTGAAAACATCATTTTAAGCCCAGCTTAAATCAGTTTACGCAAACTTAAGGTGTCTATCATATTTGAAATATATGTATTATTAATAAAACTGTCAATGATAAAATGTTAACTCATCATTTCACGAAGTGCGAAATAATAAATTTTTTGTTTCTTTATCACTAAACAGGAAACAATAAACGATAAAACGTTTTTTTTAATAGCAATGTCAAAATTTATTAATCATCACAGAAAAACAACATGCACAAGCTCTTTTGAAACAAAAAGGTTCTTTTTGGAACAATAGAAGCGCAAAACTTAAGAATAGGCTCAAATAACGTATCTCATACAACACGATTAATAAAAGTTTGCTTAATATTATAAAGCATTTCAAAATAAGATTTAGTAATATATATTTACTATTCGTACGGATGTAATTCAATTAGATGGCGTATGATATGTCAGATTTATTCAAAAAAATACATGTAAACAATCTCATCACATGTTCATCGTATTTTTAATAACCTCGGAAAATAGGAAACATAAACATTTCAGTGAATTCTTATGTGGATAATCACCTTTTAAGTTAGCACACAAAAATAATCTTTTATAGGGTATCATGGTTGAATATACTATCGTGTTCTATTTTCAAGAGATTATTCAGTGATAAATTTACTGAATCCTGAGGAAAATCGTCAAACGTTCATGCCTGGTTAAGTCCAGATAGGTAAGGTTGAATCTATTGACCTACTATAGGTAGATGGAGGTACATAAATACAAACTATTTTCCAGTTAACTCTTTAACCATACAATTAGAGAAGACTTGTTATTGAGACTATTTCCCTTGTAAACTAAGGAAAAAATATTTAACTTAAATGCGAAGTGTAATATTATTTATGCATCAATTGTCTCAAACGTTTAAGCTATTTATCATTCAACTATTTAATATTTAATGTGTAAATGTAGGATAGAGAGAGAAATTATTTGTTATATATATATTAGCCGCATTAGAAATATTGTTTGTTTTTAGTCGTACATACTATATTTAAAACTTTGTCAAAGTCAAAATCTTTCAATTTAATCACGACATTTTCCGAAATGTCATATATATATATATATCTTTTTTCGGAAAATAAAAAAAATTTATTCAAAGTAGAATAAAATTTTTAATTTATTGTTCAATATGTAAGTGCAAACTATACTCATAACCTATTATTATTGTTAAATAATAGGAATAAATTAATTCTATAGTGTATGTTAACGGGTTTTCTTTTTGTATAGATTCCCGATGTATGGTTAACATGTTATCCTCATTGCATACAGATTTCAAACCTTCCACCATAAAATCTATCTCCAATGCATCAAACGTACTAATAATAAATATGGATTGTGAAAAACGAACAAAACAGTAAGTAGACTTTTTCCATGTACTGTAATTTTTACGATAATGGTTAGAAATAAATCATATCTGGGTATTGCCATTTTTGTAACAACATCAGTGTATTCAAAGAACTAGTTGGTTTCTAATTGGTTTATTGCAGTTATATATTGATTACTGATCGAAGTAATGTTTTTTGGCAACACTATGTTAATGATTGTTTCTTTTGTGTGTTTTTTTTCCACTAGAATTTTCACAAAGGTCAAAAAGTGTACCATGATAAATGTTGTAATGTTTATTGATTAACAATGTTATTCCCTTGAATTAAAATAACATTCTCTTTTCATCACTAGTAGTTACAAAAGTTTTTTTATTTACTAAATATTTCTAGGTAATATCTATATATTTGTTTTCAACGCTGTTAGAATATTATTTGGTTTACTTTCTTATTAGTTCAATTCTGTTTTATTTTGAATGATTTTTGAAATAGATCATTATGTGAGTATGACTTATTCTATTTCTATGGAAAATGTATACATTTTTAAGATCAGTCTGTTTACTAAGAGATAAATCATACTGATATTTCATACTGAAGTATATGCAACAATAAAATTACATCTTTATACAATATGACATTGTTTAGTGTCAGGCTAACTGCATAATAAAATGCTCAGAAGCAATTCACTTTTTTGTACTCTCTAAGTTGGCTACTTCGCTTCAGAGACATTTCTTCTCATTCTAAACATTTTCGGCATTTATCTAAGCTTGAGTAACAACAATACAATATTCAAAATCAGACCATCCAAATCAACGGGCTTCAGGTTAAAAATTGAAAATCTCCATCATTTCAGTGACATTTTTTTTAAAAAAAGCCAAAATATTTTATTTGAAAGTTGAAAGTTAGGAAAAATGTTTCCCAATTTTTTAAAATATTTTGTCATTAGCATCTGTCTATGTCAAACCTAACCCTATCGATAGAAAAGTTTGAAAGACATGATAGAAATGTATCCTAATTAAATGAAATAATCAACTAAATATTTTTGTGATACCTAAAAAGTATGGTTTAGAAATCAACATTATTGGCCAAATGATTGAAATCAATCAACAGAGTTTGATAATTCAATATCTTTGCAATGTTTAATGTATTAATTAGTAACGAGGGTTATTTCAGTGAGATCTTACGTTGTCGTTAACCTTCTAGCTGATCGAGGATATTGTCTTGATTAATATAGACTTTCATTCTAATTGAAATTGCATAATCTCAACAAACCATCTCCTCTTCAAAAATAGTAAGATATAAATATAAATTGATTGCGTCGATTGACTAAAATAAATCGTCTACAACAACCATAAATTTAGAAATTTCGATGATACTCTTGTACATCTAACAGATGAAACATATGCGATGCTGCCATACTATTTGTGACTATTATATTTTGCAAATAGTCTAACAAATTCAAATATAAGAAATCTCTCTAGCGATTTTCGATGCTGACTTGTGAAGTGTGAAAAGGATATATAAGATAGTGCTTACTGTAGTTTAGACCTAATCAAGTCAAGAGAAAGCTTTTAGATACTAACTGAAAGATGATCTGTTGTGTATTCAAAATAATGCGGTATATTTTGCTTGATGAAAATTCAAGAAAAGATTAGAATGTAAAATTGTTCAGTTAATGTCAACCCATACACTTAGTGAAAATTGAAATAAAGCAAATAACAAGAAAAGCTGACTTACCATATCACCTCTACCTCGTTCATCTAGATGTGATTTGCTCGGGGACTTCTTGGTTTGTCTAGTAGGTTTCTCATCACCTTCTTCATTGTTCTCAATAAAGTCGTGTAAAACGGTCAACTTTGTTTGATCACCTGATAATACTGACGGTTTCGAAGTAACCTTCTTCCTTGTCGATGTCACTCTTGGTTCAGATTTGCCACTACTAGATGGTTTCAAAACTTTTGTAAAAATGTGAGGATAGTTTGTCGCTAAAAACTCAGATCCATATATAGTTGGTTGTAGCTGATCTTTCGTCTGCCTCGCTTTCGCTTCATGCTTACCAATAAGTGAAGCACATGCTGGATGATGATGATGGTAATGATGTGGCTGTGGTTGTTCTTCATTTTGATTGTAATACCAGTATGGTGGAGGTACCGGATGTTGTAAGTGCTCATGTGTTTGACGTTTACTTGCTATAGTATTAAGGAAGTAAACCGGAAATAAAATCAGACAGCAATGGAACATTATCAATGAAATTGTAAACTCTTTTGTTAACAGATCAAATATACAGGTCAGCAAAAGAAACGTATAATTCTTAATTCCCCTGATGAATTGTTACGCATTTTTAGAATTTCAAGTAACTTTCAGTACAAATCATATGAGGTATATTAGTTAAAGTAGAAAGAATGGAACTCCTTGTAATTGTGTAATATTATCTTTCGGTATACTGGGGATTTTAAAGAATTTAATTGTATATACTGATTGGAACTAAGTGAAACTGATTTTTAGTTTTAATTCCAATGATTGATATTCCAGTAAAAGGATATAAAATAAACATTTGATCGGATGATGAATCAATCATTATTAGACCATCAATCGAAACCTAGTATGGGCCTCATCCACAGTAAACATGCATCACCTCTGCTACAGCGAATCGAACCCAGGACCTTCGATCTCTCGCGTGAACGCATAGCCTCTAGACCACTGAGCCGGTATCCAATCGTTTCAATATCTGACTGTGAACAGTCTCTACCAGGTTGAGCTTCGCTGGTCACGGCTTCTCACTTGAACTCCGAGAGTTTCCTCACACAGCTAGTCAGTAGTGAACACATTGTTTGATATCCGTTATAGAATTATGAAGATTGTTGTTTTTCATTCGAATCATTATAGTTTTCAGAAATAAAATGATACCGGCTGATTTATTATTCGACTTTTGAGTCGGAAAACTAACTAACCCAGCTAGACATTATCGTTTACAACTTACCTTTTCCTAAACGTCAAAAATTTGTTTGTACGTTGTTCAAATGTGCAGGTATAAGATAAGATTAATTCTTTAAATGGATCACAATTGGTTTTTCATACATCATTAAAGTTGTTTTAATTATGATTGCAATTTTCTTTTAAAAGTGAATACCAAATTAAATTACAATAGTATGTTGTTAATAGTGAAAATTCAATAGATTTATAAGTGATTGAATAACTCAGAAAAAAATGTTTCACGGGGTACATACAGAATAAATTAGTTAAAATGTCACTAATTTGAAAGTACATAGCAGTAAATTATCATCAAGTGACTACAGCTTTATTTGTTATTCCCATAGGAAATCATTTTTTTTCAATTTGCTTTAAGAAAAATTCTAAATGAATGAGATATTTAAACATCGTTTTTGCTTGCATTCATGACGCAAATGTGTCAGATTTATTTAGAGATGAAAAAAGGGTTAAATTATTCCATTAGAAATGATTCTATGCATTGGTGAATTGAATGAATTCATTTTGTTTAATTGTAGATGTGTTTAGTTTATATTTGGGGAGAAAATGTTCAATAAGGTTAGAAGAAAAGAAATTTTTTTTCCTACTTCAAGGTAAAATTACAGTTTACATGGAATCACGTAAAAAGTACCATACACCATTACAAATCGTAATGTAACTATTAAGTATAAAGTAAAATAACTACAAGAGTAGACTATTCAGGTATATATATATATATATATATATATATATACGTTTTATTGTACTGTCTATAAAAATTAGTCAACTACAATAGGACAGGAAAGAATAAATAATTTTATGCATTTTAAATAATTTTTTTCTCTTCTATAAACTAGTAAATAGATTAGGTTCAAAAAGAATGATTTTAAGTTCAGAAAGAAGCAATCAACCACAAATAACATGACGTTTCAATCTAAATTACTGAAAAAAATGTGTCAAGTTTCGGTTGATTTCTTCTCTGTCATCTTAAATCTTTAATCGAACTATGACGATGAATACTGATAATATATTGGAAAAACAAATAATTGTTCTTTTAAATTTGTGAAATGATTTATTAAGATATATTCAATTATAGTTATGGAGATTAGTGTTTTTTACACATTTGAAATCATCAATCAATCATTGTTAGACTACCATTAGAAACCTGGAGTCACTGACGGCCGTTTGGTCCTGGTATGGGACTCGTCAGCAGTGCGCATCCACGACTTCCACACCTCTCATTATTCAAACCCAGGACCTTCGGTATTGTCCACGAACGCCCAACCATTGGTTCATTGGGCTGGCATCCAATGGTGTTAATGCCTAACTCTGATTGATCTACGGATTTTGTGCGAGCACACCCATTTGTCTTCGGTAGTTACTGACTACACCCGACTGGGTTGAACTTCATTGGTCGCGTCTTCTCACTAGAACTTCGAGCATTTCCTCACGAAGCTAGTCACTAGTGAGCACATTTTACGATATAAATACCGTTGGATCCTGGCCCAGTGGTCCGATGGTTAGGCGTTCGCGCACAATACCGAACGTCCTGGGTTCGAATAATGCGAGGTGCAGAAGTCGTGGGTGCGCACTGCTGATGTGTCCCATACCAGGGCGAAACGGCCGTCCAGTGACTCCAGGTTTCTAATGGTAGTCTAACAATGATTGATTGATGATTTCAGATTTACTAAGAATCCGATATAACTTTGCTGTGAATAATGTTTATTTGTTAATGTAGAGTGTATGTAATCAAGAAAATTACTTAATAATAAAGAATACTAGAATACACAAGGGACTAAGTGAACATATACTTTAGGGGGATGAAAAATTACAATCAAAAAGTTCAGTATTATTCAGTTAATTTAGTATAAAAAGTTTTCTCTGTACTACACTGTTATGACCTTTCTTCGTCAAATGAACTCATTGTTTACATAATTAAATGAGAAAATAGAGATGATATGATAAATGTAATGTGATCTAAATGCTACTCAAAGGATGTTTAACGTTACTCATAAAATTTATGTTTGTAGAAATACAAAATTGTTCGATAATCTTTTATGATATTTGCCACTGACCTTTTATTAATTTTCATTATCAGTTTGATCTGATTCACAAGAGACCTAATTTTCATTGAACTTAGTTAGGTATTAAGTAAATAATAGCTGTGAATAAGTATTTTGTTTCTCAACTACTCAGTTATCCTTTTAACTTATAGTGAACCATGATACAGCTTACTTTTTTTGTCAGAACATTATTGATGAGAAATCAAATGTGTAGGTAAGCATATATTTCGTCAATAATAAGTACTAAATAATAATGTGCTGTTTGTTGAATAAACATTTAAAATTTTTGCTTTGAACTCATTAATTCTTAGACAACTTATTTTATCTGATAAACGCTTATAATTAGTCGGTTAGAAGCATATCTGGGTTGAACTTATGCTTAAAAAAACAACGTCGGATATAACCAATTTGGTCAATCAAAGTTATATAATATGTAACACACACTTATCTGAGACCAAACAAGAGTGATATTCAGTAAGTTTAAGGCAAGTTGGGATCCTGGATTCGGAACTGGTGAAACTATCAAATTAGACTGGAATACCAGTCAGTACATGTTACTGAACACAGGGTATGAGAAAAAGACAAACGACCTAGATTCACCCGATCAATTAAACGTGATAAAAATACATCTTACTTTGGACAAAGTGTATATAATGCATGTTTGAAGATTGTTAACAAAGAAGTACAATAAGCACCACAAACCCTAACAAACTTCCAAAGTGAAAAATCAACATTTTTTGATGAGGAAAAATTGACTGATAGAAAAATCTATAGATTACACGTTATGATATCTACAAGTTACCAGATTACAGTTAATAAAAGACACGTATGTAGATTTATAATAAGATGAATTCTACAGAATATGCGGATATATTCAATTTGGTAACTTGAATTATAAATGTAAATCCCACGACACACATACCATGCATTGTGTTAGTCATGAAGTATTGATTATCTACCAGCGAGATGATCGATAAGATCTTAAGAAGGGAAACATCAAAAAAAGTCTACTACATTCTTTTTTGTTTATGGTAAATTGTTGGTTGCCACATGTGCACGTTAATTTATTTAGGGGTTATTTATAATTTACGTACAATATAATTGCTATAATTTTAGTTTACTACACTGGTTTAAATCAAATTAATTGTATGATAATTGAGTTTAAATTATTGAATGTTAGGGATAATTATATTAATTATTATTTATGAAACAATCAATTATAATTCGGTTTCATTTGATAAGAAAAACACTTTCCAAGTTTTTACAAACAATTCAATTAATCAGAAAAGAATTAGTCGATTATGCAAACCAATAAATTATAATTATGAGCTCACAATGCAAAGAAAATATTTTCCTACCTGATAATGTTTAATGAATAGTAACAATAATATGGCATACATTTTCATTGTGCACAAATGAAATAGCTGTCTTTTTTTTTTCTCAACATCTACAGACTATTGTCAGGTTTATACAAAGAAATAACTTTATTTCATCGTGTAAAATGTTTTTTACTGTTTACAAGGGAATATCATAGATTTCGCCTTGATCGTTAGAATGATTAAAAAGTAAACAAAAATTAATATTCAGAAATTTCAAACCAGTGATAATTACGATGTAGGATTAGCAGTGAGATCGAGAACGTACTTTGCAGCAAATTTTAGATTAAAATGATTCTAATGTTGATGTTCACACTGAGTATTGAACCTTCTAAGCAGATTGAAACACCAATGTATTTTATCCACTAAACTGTTGAATTTTTAAATTGCTAGCAACTTATTTTAATAAAAGTTTGTAGTTTTTTTTTCTTATTTAGATGTAAGCCTACAAATGACAAAGTTTTTCTTTTTCTATAACCAGCAAAGCATATTCCTGTAATATTAGCAATTGATCAATTGAAATTCAAAATACCCACCATAAAAAATATCAATGCGAATAAATGAGAATTTGGTGCTAGTTCTTTAAAGCTTTAGCATTACTATTGGTAAAATATCTTTGAACATGTTAATTTATCAATATTGATGGTATAGTTTATTTCTTTTGTATTTACAAAAGATGAAACAAATACTTTCGAAAAGTGATGATAATAACCATAAATATAATAAAGAATAATAGATAATGACTAAGGTGATATTAAAATTTTGTTCAACTTAATCAAAATTTAAATGATTTCAAGTTAAGCTGATATGAACTTGATTTTTTTGTATTTATTCATATCATATTCAATTGTTTGCAATGATGAAACACAATAGTAGTAGATCTGTATGATAGTAGTTAGTAGTCTGATCAAATCTGTTGTTACTTAAGAGGGTATTTGTCTCTGTACAAACTGAAAATCATTGAAACAAAAAGAAAACTTGACGATTTCGGCTTATATAATCAACCAGTTTGGGATAAACTTTCATCCTTTACACATACAAATACATTGATGTAATAATAAAATATTACCCTCAAAATGTTGATTCATTGGGAAGAATTTTTTATTCGTGAAAATCAAAATGTTAGAATCGTAGTGAAATATATTTCTTGAATTTATTCTCATGCATAAACTTTGTGGACACGCAAAAGAGGACCCACTTTACAGATATTTTAAGAAAATGTTTATAGAGTAGAGTTTCGAATGCTACTTATAGATTTGTATAGGCTTTACAAAATCGTGAATAAGAAGAGTTGAAAACAAACTCGTTTACTACAGAATTGACACTCAGTAATTTGGAAAGATAATTAAACTATTTGATTTCGGATTGAGAAAGATTCCATCTATTTCCGTGTAAGGAATCAAATGATACGTTACACATAACAATGAAAAAAATTCACTATATATATACAATTTGATTCGAATTGACTAATCTCACTTACTTGATTTTGAGGTCGGCTTCAATTTAGGCATAGGTTTCACAGCGGAAACTGAAACAGGATAAGGTATTTCACTTTCACCATTTTCTTCACGAACATCTGGTGATAAAATTTGCTTTAATTGTTGACTTTCATTTGTCATTAAGGATGTTGTTACTTTATTCTTTTTGTCTTGTATAGATGATGACGGTTGTAGTTGTTGTGATTCTGAAAGTTGTGATTTCTGCTTAGTCACAACTCCTGTTGCACTTGTGGTGGCTGTCACTACTCCTGATGATAATCCAGATGATATTACGGTCGTCCTACCTTTAGCTAGATTTGTATTATCATAGTCAATATTTGACTTGTGATATTTTTGATCTTTACTAATAACATTTGTAGTAGTGCTAGTGGTTGTGACAGTACTAGCTAATGCTGAAGATTTTACTTTTTTATCTTGAGATATACCATTTGTTTTTCCACTAGATAATGCTTCAAGTCGTCTATGCATACAATGGTCATGGTGACGATGATGAGAATGTGCACTTGTTGTTTGTGGTGGTAAATTAGTTGCAGTTGTATGATTGGCACTAGTGTCATAGTGACTGAACTTTGTGTCACCTTTTACAGGATAATCATTTTCTTTAGTACCGAATGGTTCTATGTCTTTTCGACTGATAAATAATTAAGAAAAGGCAAAATATTGATTATTAGAACAAGACTAGTGTTAAATTAGCAGACATAAAATGGTAGATCATAAAAACAGAGTAGATCAGTAGTGATATTTATTCCTCCGTTTACTGCTGTCTTAGAGACAATTTAACAGCAATTTTGAACGATATGCAATGCACGATAGCCATTATACATAAAGAAATATGTAATACTGATAACTGCCTTATTGCGTGTTTTGACATAATTAAAATTTCGTTTTCTTAACTAGACATGAAAACCGTTGGATAATCGGTGTTTATTTTGTAAGGACTGCTAGTAAAAGCTGACACTGAAAGTTGCACATACTTAACGATAGTTTAAAATATTTAAGAACCATTTAAAAATTTTGTCTTCGGTATTTTTTTGTTCAAATTATGAATCCTTTTAGTAACATTAAATGCCCGAAATGACTGTCTAAAGTCTCGTCTAATCAGTGCCAATCAATATATATGTTCGAATTATATATTTCTTGTAAAACAATTAACAAAGAGTTGATTATCGATTTTAATTGTAACGATTAGGATAACGTATGTAAGTGAAGAAAATTGTTTTCAATCAGATATTTATCAGACTTTACTGTAATACGCACACACACACACACACACACGAATATTTATATGAGTATGGTTCAACATGAAAATTAGATTATATCTGAATAAATTGACTGGGAAATAATAATCAAAAAAAAATGTTAAAAATACTTCGTATGTTGAATTGGTGACAAAAACTTTTATTATTCTTATCATTACTACTTGTGCACCTGTCTTCTGACCATTGATTTATACTTTAAACTTATTATTTTATTGCTATCAGTGTTTCAGTTGTCATGATTGTTCGTGTATATTACAGTAAAGTTTGATAAATATCTGATTGAAAACAATTTTCTTCGCTTTTGGTCTTGTTCTAAAGACAGGCATTTTTAAGCTTACTTTGTTTAAATATAGTTCTAAAATAAATAAAATACTTCTATTACGAAAATAGGATAGTCAGCTAAACCATGGTTCTGGCTTATGAATTAAAGAATGGTAATGTTAATAATAGTTATAAAAAAATTAATCAAGAATTTGCCTAATCATTATAATTTGCTAAGTATTTGTGTGTTGTTGATGGAGAAAAATTCTTGCATGGATAGCTGAACTAATAAATAATTTATAAGCTAGGTAAGCAATACACGATTAAGTTCAAACTGAAGCATCTACAATAATATTGAAAATGATAAAGTACACTAAAGGACAATATTCAGACTTGCATGGTATAACTTAAGATAATAGATGATTTCCATAGAGGCCTAAAGGTTTTATGTAATTTATGGAGAAGTGGATCAAACTCGTACTTTTTGGATGTTTATTCGGAAAAATGTGATAACTATCGACTCTTTTACAATTAGTAGGCGAAGACACCCGAACTTTTATGTATTTCACGAGGATTCTATGTGATGATGAATACTCATCTTCTGTGAATTTGGAACTCTTTATCCTGTAGATGAGACCAATAAATTTCCAATGAATTTATTTCTATTTTATTTATTCACGATAAATCTATATACAACTTAGGAGTATCTCAAGAGCCCAACGACATTCCAAATGAAAGCATATATTATTACATAAAACAATGATGCTGAGTAGCACAAAAGTTGATTGAAATAACAACCTACTTAATATACACATTTTGTTATTTGATCTAAATAGGCAGGATTTTCCAAACATTCGACTCTCACTTAGTGTTGTACACAAGTAAAAAAAAATATAACAAACCTAGTTAATGTTGAGTTTCCTAGGCTACATGGTTAAATTGGGAAGCTTTTGTTATCTTTCAGGACAACATCAGCATCTCACGTTTAGTTCAAAACTTCTACCTAGTGAAGTTAGCATGAAAATGTACGTGGTAGTTGTGTGTTGATTTGAAAATATAATCGTTAAAAGATTCATTTCATGATTAGCTTCAACAGTTTGATGCTTAAAGTTTGTGTATTGATGCTAATCGCTGATAACAGGAAATGAGAGATGCACTATAAATCACTGTTTTATGATCTAACACTTATTAGTCTTAAGTATCAGCTAATTGGCTTTCTTTTCCTCGATAAATATTAGTTGAGAAGCTAAGAATGTAGTTTTAACTAATGATATATCTCTAAACCTTTAAATGATTCCCACTGTTTTTAAGCAGGTTTTGGAAAAGTTTTGAATTTTACTTAAAATAATGAAATAAAAGTATTTACTAGATTTTGTCAGTAAAGTATATCCAGCAATATGCCTAGAGTTCGTAAACTAATCACTTATGAATTTTCGCTTATTACTTACATACTCTTCAAGTGAAGTTTGATCAGATTATCCTCTGTAGAAGTCAGTAATGAAAGGTTTGTGTAAAGCGAAATATACACATGAACAATCTTTATATACGTAGAAGTATACCATTCTTGAATAATAAACATAAACTATACTGAACTTTAGAAAATAGTGAAGAAAGTTTTCATACTAACCTTCTCGAATGTGTTCTCTTGGAATGTCGTTTACATGAGTCACTATCTCGTTTTGATACCTGCTTTGAGTGACCTGATGAATATTTTTGAGCTGACTGTTTACCGGACTGTTCAGATTTACGCTGTGATCCAAAAGTAATAGATGGATCTAAGTGATGACCTTGACTACATTCAAGACTTCGGAATCCATGAAAAGGTGGTGGTTGAACATAAGGTCCGTACGGTAACTGAGATCCCACTGGTAGTCGTGAAGTAAAAGGGTAATGAGCACCTGGTGTTTGATATAGATGAAACGGATAACCCCCAGCAGCAGCTAAGGCAGCTGCCTGTTGTCTTTGATGTTCTAAGTGAAGCTGATACTGTTTAACGTCAACTGAACGAGGACGTCTAAGTACCACATAAGGAACCTCTTCAAGTATCTCAGCTGCATTTTCCAAATCATTTAATGACATTAAATTGTGATGTCCACTTGACTCCTCATTTATTTGTTCATGCAAATGATGTAAATGTTTGCTTTTTCTCACTTGTTCGGACTTTTTACCATCGCTGTGTTTTCTATGAATTCGTTTCACATTTTCTGTAGGAACAAAACTGTGTATATGCTGTGATGCTGACGGAAGTACTTCCTCTAATTCAGCAAGATGAATACCGGAAGGAATAGAATTAGATAGGTGATGACCATGGGAACATACATGTTCGTGACCTTGTAGATGTTTATGATGCTTGGACTTAGCTTGTACATTGTTATGTGGTGTTAGGCTTTTAAAATTATTCATATGTCTGTATTCAGTTCTGTAATTAGTTGGTCTTATATCGCCTTCAGATGGTTGTAAGTAATTATTAACTTGTCCCAAATGTATGGATTTCGAAGCATTTGGGCAGGTTAATGAATGCTGTAACATAGGATTAATAGAATTAATGCACGGAACAGAATGATGATATGTAGTAGAGGTGTTTGGAGCTAAATCGGAGCGTATTATAACCCCTGTAGTGCTTTCTGAACTACTTGAGCTCCACTGATCCAATGATGTAATATGAATTGGTTCCGTACCAACACTAAAACGTGATAAACTTGCATTGAAATGAGAGAATAAAGAATCATGTGGTTTAGATTCTTCTGATAACGTAGTAGTTATGTGTGGTTTAGATTTATCTGGGGATGTAGTAGTTGTTGTAGAAGCTGTCGATGAAGTGCATACAGCTGCTTGAGTTGTACTGGTACCCGAAAACGTTGGTGATTTTGAACCCAGCTGAAATCAGAATAAAATGCTTATTTGCTGTAATAAGTCTTAATTTATATTTGTGAATTAATCGAACTTCAATTTTACAACAGTGTAAATCACTAAAGTCCTTTAAAATACTTGTTTGAAAGATGAACCAACTTACGTGAGATAATGTATTCCTTGGGTCGAAATTAGAGCACCGTAATTTTTAAATTTTAGATCCTTAAGAATTGACAGATTGTTCATTGTAAAAAGCGCTAGTTGATTTTTGTTACCGATAGATCGGTAGATACACACTTTTGACTATAATGACCCCTGTATACTTTAAAATGAGGAGATTTTACCAATAAGATTATAGAATGAGGAAACGATCATACTGTCAGCTGATAAGCCTGCAACCTTGAAATATTTCGACCAATAGAAATAACGAATAGGTAAAATTCAATGGGTATTACATTATACAATCTAGTAAACTAACTAGACCAATCAGATAAGTGGATTGGATACATGACAATTCCATGCATTTAGTATTATTGATCATCTCATTGTGTCATCTTATCCAGTGTTATGTCCCACAGAAAATTTCTGTGACAGAGGTTTCGTGAAATAAGTCAATCAAACGTAAGACACGATTGTTTGTTTGTATATATCTAAATCAAAATCGAGGTGTTTTAAACCAGAAAAATAAGACCCTGTTTAAACGGTTGGTATTCAGCGTGATTATTTAAAGTTGCAAGTAGCACTTAATTCCCAACTATGATAAGACCATTAGAGGTTTATAGAATACAACAAGTGAGGCTATTTGTAGATGTACAGTAAACAGTATTTACTAACTAACCAGACTGACCAATATTTAAGCTACTGAAGATTTCGACTAGGAAGATTAAGATAATATCAAATGTGTCAACTTCTGCATGTTTTGAGACTAAAATATAATTGTTCTCTGGTTAGCATCTTGTTCTATATCGTTTTGCATCATTTTACTGTTATCATTTCACAAATAATCTGTGTTTATCTCAATTAGTATGCACAAGCAAGAAAATTGATGGTAACTGATTGAGTCGCTTTTGCGATTAAATTTACTCAAATCGCAAATCAATTAATCCGTGTAAAATCATAAATATTACACTGCCGATGAGTCTCAAACAAATAGAACCAAACTCTAGTGTCCGAGCTACATATTGAAACATATGCACAAGCATTCACAATTCAACAGTGTATGAAAGAGGCACAGGTCACATTCAATACACCTCTCTGTATATGTTTTATTCATTTATAAAAAGTTATTCTATACATAGTACAGTTATTTTAAAAACGCATACAAAAAAAGGAAAACTCTGATAAGATCATAGTAGATTCTACAGTATAACTCCATACAAATGTCCCTAAGGGGATAGCCAAGTTCAAAGTAAATATATGATTGATAGTTAAAGTTTGTAAAATGTGAGACTGTTGGTAAAATAAATAAGGCCAGAAGTTGGTCAACGTTGAAAAGGCAGTTAACAATTTTTTTTGAACGCAAAACTCGAACTATTTTATCCGATTAATTATAACTTCAACCATTTGTCGAATTCTCAGTCCGACAAATTAAGCAATATGACTATTTACATGATATGTTACTAAAAATTACTGATCCATGTGGATAGTATGACTGATTGGTGCTAAATAAGCTGAAATTAAACTATTAACAATTTCAACCACAATGAATGGTATTCACAAGGATAAAAAAACCAATTCCTAGAACATCCGCCAATATAAATATAGTTACTTCACAAGATCAGCGAAATTGATAAATCTATAAAGAGACGACCAGTCTTGGTATTTTATCTTTCAATCCTGACATGATCACTAGACATGCAAAACACATTGATTCTAGTTTTTTCTGGATTGAATGTTCTTCACTCATTCATTCATTCATTCATTCATATATCTATGTTTCTAATAATGATGAGAATTTTTTTTAATAATGAAAATTTTTTTTTTAATATTCCGATAAATTATTCGGAAGTCACAACAATGTACCTAGAGTCCAAAGGACAAGGAAGTTTTTATATAGAATTAACTAACAGAAAATACAGAACATCTAACCAGAAAAAAGAATACTGTTTCTATTTTATAAATATTTCATGTTGTTAGTTCACAAGTTCATTGTTTATGTAATCTTTTTATTTTCTTTTTTTTGGAAAATTTCTAATTATTATTATTAACTAAGATAAAATTCAAAGAAATATATATATATAAACGACTTATAACAATCGATTAAGAGCAAGAGATAAGGAAATGAATTTGTTATTTTTCTTATTATTGAAAATGAAGTCATTATTTAGCCCCTGTTGAAATCTATACGTTAAAATAAAATTCCAATAATATTGAAGCAAAAATCATCTAAAATAAAAACATTTTCAGTGAAAATTTAAAAAATCACCAATTTATATTGAGATAAATTATTCAATCAATACAGATAAATGTGAAAGCAAATCAATAACATATGAAAATCAATAAAAATATGAAAATATACATGTTGTGGTGGACCAATCAATGTATTATTTTACACAAGTCCGCCCTGCTGGTAGTTTGTACCGAGTTTACTAAAGTACTATCTGGATATATTTCCATTATTTTATCTGCCATGTCAGCCAAATCCGTTAAACTGACGCTGTCGATGGTCGTGCTAAGAATCTGTCGTACATTTTGTGGCAGGCGTTGTGACCAAATTTGTTTTAGCAGGGCTTCATCTAATTTATATGGGCCAGCTAAATTTTTCATACGCCTTAATAGTTGTGATGGTTTTTTGTCTCCAAGTTCGCATGAGGTTAACAACTGCTGAAGTCGTTTTTCATCAGAGATTGAAGTTCTCTTGATTAAAGCAGCCTTAATCTTATCATACGGCTCGTGTTCCAGCACCTCATCAATTAAATCCCCAACTTCAGCTGCTATGTCAAGTGGTAGCACGCTAACCACATATGCGTATTTAGTTGCTTGCGAGCGTATATTTCTTGCCATAAATAGGGCTTCGATTTGTGCGAACCACATCCTAGGGTTGCTAGAACCGTATGCTGGGATTTGAAAGTCAGAAACCGCATTAATTGAACTTAAAGTATTGCCGCCCGCCTGAGGTGTGGTTAAATGTTCTTCTAAGGGTAAATTCATGGTAATGAGTGAGTTCCAAGGAAACAGTAATAGGCAAAAATAAATTATGTCAGGCAATAAGGTTTTCACAAAAAATATATAATGGATACAATAACTAGAGCTCACCAAAACGTTGAATAATTCAGAATTCAACTTCGAGTTCAGATATGAAAAACATCATGATCATCAGGTGAAGAAAATGTTATATCAGAATGATGAAAAGAATTAACTGGAATTTAATTTTAATATCATCAACTGTAAATATTGGCAATAATTTAATTCAATTATTTTTCAAGATTCAAGATGAAGCTTTCGTCAACATATTCTGACCACGTGAATGTTTCTGTTTAGAAAGCTAATTGTATTTAAAAAATGAAGATGTTTGTATGATGTCATTTTTGATCAGTTCAAAGAGTTAATTCATTTGTTACGCTTGTTTGAATTTTCGCATTGATGGTTAAGACTGTAGTTGATCAGTCTCCTTGGTAATATGTGCATCCTGTGAGGAATGCCTTACAGTTACGGGTGTTATCAGCAGAGATGCAGTCCTGAATATCAAAGGGGAAAATTCAAACGATCAGTACCAAAGGAATAATCGTCATCCCATCGGACGAACAAGTCACTATCTGGACTCAGTGTCAGAGTGAATATCAACGATGAGATGCAGGTATATATTCAGCTGACGAGCCCACAATAGAACGAAACGCTCGTCTTGGATTCCACTGTTAGCCACTATCCACCTCTGCTAATATAAAGAACTATTTCCCAAGTTGTATTCTCGATGAAACGCAATACTATTTCTAAAAATATATATGTTAGATGACTAGTCAAATCTTTAATCGTAAAAGATATTATTGATTAGTGTATACCGGCATGATATAAATGTTGGAAGTGATGTGATTAATACTGTTTTTACAAGCGAGGAATATTGACATTTGTTTTTAATAACATATATTTCTAGTGTAATTGGGAAAATCATAAACTGAACATTTCAAAATACTAGTATCACTTGTGCAGATATACACTTTATTGTAAGTCTACTGTTACATAAAGTTAAGGAAGTGTGGTTTTGTTTGGTGTAATGATTAGTTTCGGTAATAAATTGTTTTGCATTATATTTTCATTAGGAAATATATCTGTAGTTCTGGCTTATTGGAAAATGCTACCTACTTGCAGAACAGTGTGCATACCATTATGATACCTTAAGTTAGGATTTAGATGATGAGAGTGGCATATAATACGGTAAGGGATCTAATATGATTAGATAGCTCTAAACGGTTTATATAGCTAGACAATACAGCTTCGAAAGTCATATCGAAGTAAGAAGAGTATAGACAGTCTTTTCAGGAGAACTTTATATTGCTTAAAGGATAACGAAACAAGTAAGTAGTAGTAGTTGGTATTTCACAAAATCGAGTAACCGACTGAAACACACGTCAGTTATATGACACTGAAGCTTTGCAGTAACAATGAGGTGAGAAATTTGACACTACTAAATAATTATGGATGTACAAAACTGTATAAGTTAAATTAGTGATTTGTTTCAAACACACAACCAAATACAATAAATATGAATTTGGAATGTGAAAATAAAATATTTGAACAAGAATAAAAAAAAGGTTCAGATTGATAAAATAAAATGGTAATTCTTACTCAACTTTTTTTTCATATTTCAATATATAAATGGCAATAATTGGTCTATCACTTTTTGAGAATGTTTAAAGTATACTTTACACTATTATTATTAATAACTAGTGGTGTGTTCGTGTTTTCACAAATATGAATTTGAAAAGTTCTCTCAAAACATTTCATTTTGTAAGAGAAATCATATTCAACTTCCATGTTCTAATTCAGGTAATTACTTAATGATTTCTAATTGATAATCATAACATTGGAGTTTAGCTTTCTAAGCCAAATGTTTTGCTTGTGAAGCTTTCATTATTTTTCTAAACAACATTATCAGTACAAACTGCAGGTAGAAGAAGAGTATTCGAATTTCTTCGCGTGTGACTCATGATTTGTCCAGTTGACCTTAGTTTTGATTGGTTGTCAACAAGACAGGCGACGAATCACAAGTGGAGAAATCCGATTATTCTTCTTCTAATTGAAGTTTGTGTTGATAATGTTGTTCAGAAGAACCATGTAAGCTCTACAACCAAAACATTTTAGTTCAGTGAACGAAAATTCACCTCAAACATTTCAATAGGTAATCGTGTTTTTTTTCAGGTTACAGAAATATTTTCTTACAATCGTAATTAAAGTTTACTAAATAACTGCATTAAGTACCATTCATTTTTAACTAGAGGATAATTATGGCTAAAAAAAGGATAGAAACAGTTAAATACATTTTATTATATAAAAATATAATGAAGCGATGGAAACAGAATAAGAAGGCTTAGTGTTATGAAAAGAAATTGTAAGAGAAAAAAATAACAAATTATTTTTAATGTTAAAATGCAATAATCAATTGTCAATGTGAACAATACGAATTATAGGTGAAACAGGAAGAAAAAATGTAACTTCTTTGTTTATGTAAATTGTACATATTGAATAATACTATTCAGTAAAAGAAAGATAAACAATTTTTAAAAAGAATCATTAATAGCTTCTTTTATTCAGAGTAGGTTTAACGTTTTTGAATATATGAACTATTTTAAAGCAAACGTATCTTTTTTTTGTGACGATTTCAACAAAATACTCCATAGTTCAATATATTGAAAGCACAATGGAAGATTTTCTTCGTTATTTTTAGACACTTGGTCGTGCTACAATTTTCACATTCTGTTATGCTCGTTACTTGATGTGCTTGAAACTATTACGAGTTCACTTTAGTCGATAAGACAATCAACCAGTGACACGGTAGGCTACTGTGGACCATTGCCCCAACTAACTGAAGAATAATTCTTTATATGGTGTAGAAAGTGTATTCTACAAACACTCAGCAAACACAATGAACTCGAGCACGTTTATTTGTGCACCTTGGAAATGTCCTTGGGAGAGTCACAAAAATAGCATACCAAAATAACACATCAACCAATCACAGCCAGGGATTTTCTTGGTGGGAAGTGTGATCTCAAGATCGACCGATCAGCCCATGAATAAAATCTAGAATTAAGACATTTATCAAGCAAGTTCTGTGGATTTAACGTCCCGAACACATTCATATTGATAAACTGAATATATGACTACATAAAATCTCACCACTGTAACATGTGAGGGTACCACGGTTAAATTTATTTTGTTGGAAGTGGCTATTGAATCAGATTAATTTGTTTTACGATTTAAACGTGTTTTCATTTACGAACGTTAGTTTATCCTTTTAACAAACAGGTCAACTGAAGTAAATGAACGTTAGAAACTCTGTATTTCTGTATATCGTAAAATTTATTATTTTTAATACACCTTGAGTTATATTTAGAATATGTGAAATCGAAAACGATCTTTAATGAAAACACTATTCTAAGTTTAGTTTTTTTTTAGACGCAAACACTAGTTATGATAAAAATTACGTTTCAGTAAACAGCACATTTAATGGACATAAACTAACATACACAGAACTAATTAAAATCAAGCAACCATAATACATTTTACTTACATCATCCAGAAATAAACATCCATATGTTTCATTTTCACTAGATTTTACTACAGATTTGATCAAGTCAATAGGTTCATTGGAACTACTTGCTAATCCAAATGTTTGTAGAAAATCACTAAGTTGCACTCTGTTTGATTCCATTTCTAAATTGGATAATTGCTTGTCTGTTGATGTTTTCTCATTTGTTTCATGTGATCTTAGTATTGAAATATCATTTAAGGTAATTGAAAACGTATCTTCTTGTGGTAGAAAATCGTACAACATTGAATGATTAGCGGATAGCAATTGATCACTTACTAATAGACCTTGTGAACCTTTGGAAGTTGCAATACTTGTTGGATAGGTAGTTGATGTTGTTGTTGTTGACGACATTGATGAATTTGCTAGTGAAATGGATGTAGTGAATGGTGGTATAGTAATAGATGATGAAATAGTCTGTGGTTTTATTGACAAATTAGGCAATATAGATAAAGTCATTGTTGTTGCAGTATTATTATTCTCACATGTAGATGATGTTGTTTCCATTGTTGGTAAATTATCAGTAACTGATGGTTGAGAATAAGTGACATTGTTTGTTGCAGTGGATAAAACTGAACTAGTATGCAAAAATGATAAATCTTTATCCAAACTAATCTCTAAACCAAGCTGTGTGACAGTAGGTAAAATGAATGAAGCTTCATATGATCGTGAAGTAGGCAGATTTGCGGTTATAGCACTTGATCCATATGTTATAACGTTGTTATTATTATCATCATCATGATTAACAATATTTTGCGTTTGACTGGATGATTCAAGAAGTTGGGTTGCTTTTGATGATAATGGAAAAAGAAGGTAAAAATGTATATTATGTACAGCAAAAAAAAATTATCAATAACCAAATTTAAATTAGCGCAAAAATATTTAATGTTAAATGGCTTATATATATAATGTACTTATGATAATTTATGCTTACAAAACGTTACACAAGTTACATAATCATATGTGAAAAATAAGGGCTAATAAATTATTCAAGAAAAAGAACCAGGCCACTATGGATAATTATTTTTCCTAAGAATGAAACTTTCACCACGTGTATAACTATGATGCCGTTATTCATCGACTTCAGTACCTTCATATCTCATGACAAGTGTTAAACTACTAGTTGGGTGGATTAGTTTGATGCATACAATGAAGTTTAATCAGGTCGTTAGTTAAATTTGGCACGTCAGTTCGGACACAGGTGACCAACTACATATTAGGTACACAACTACCAATCTATATGTTGATTTTTTCTGTTTATTATTTTTGTTTCCATTAATTCAGAAGAAAAGGATAAAGCATGATATAAAACAAATAGAAAAGTTGAAAGCTATCATACTAGGCTGCTCTAAACGATTTAATTAGTAAATCTATAACTTTTAATGTTCTTTAAATGTTTATCTCACTCAATCAACTTCCAGTTTCTATTATCGGACTGCCTTTTCTTTAGCTTGCGTTACAGTTATTACTGAATGTTGGTTCACCGAATATGCCTACCGAGCCATCAGTTGACGTTTTATCTTGTTATTCTATCTTTCCGATCCTCTTGCATACGTCGATTTTCGTACATTCTACGGTGCACAATATATCTTCGGGGTAGACCCAAATCTACCAAAGCTAAATGATACGCCTTGATTAGTTACTAATGTCAAGTTTTGAATGAGTACAATGACTAGTCGTTTTTTTGCCATAGTATCAAGTCAGAGGAGAAAGTTAAAGATATGAGCATGAGACAGGTTTATCCAATTCATAGATTTTTAACTGCGAGAATTTCTTTTTAGATTAGTCAAAAATGTTATTATATCACTATCAAACTGCACCATATAAATCATATTCTGTTAAAATATCTTCGAAATTTATTTCTGGCAAATTCCACTGTAACGGCTTAAAAATAAACAAAGAAAGTGATAAAAACTCACTTATGATTGTATAAAAAGATAACTACTACTACTACTAAGTAAATACTCAGTGAACAAATCCTTAATAATTTACCTTAGAAAAATAAATTATTCATTATGTGAATAAGCTTAATATTTCATATTTCGCAATTGTTGTATAGATTTCTTTTAATTCTATGGTCGTGTTCACTCTTTACTAGCCTAATTTGCATTTGATAATCCCTATATCTTAATAAAAATTTGTCCAAGCAGAACAAAAAGAAATATGTTGAATAGGCAAATATATTTTTTTGATTAATTGCAACCAATAATTAATCGATTTGACGAAATGAGAAAATGATAATTTAATATGATATATTTGACTATTCTGATATGTGTGCTTACGGGCCATGTTTAAAGAATAGTCCTAGTTACCGGATATTTTTATAACAATTACATAAATATACGTATTTCTCCATTCAAGTTTCTAAATCACCTACAAAGAAGTAAGCGTACGAAAATGAAGGAAAGTTTATCTTCAAGTTCGGTAGTTCAATAAAAAAAATCTATCAATCAAGAAAATAGATTTTCTCGTTGTTTACAGGCAATAAGAATGACTACATTTCTCGGAATATAATGAATAATTCGTGCATTTTAACAGTTACATTTCTTTGTATAGTCACTTATAGCTCAAATGAGACATAACTAATAAGTAAGCAGATACAAAGCATGTATGTTCTAGTACCTCAGATTAAACGTTCGACACTTTGGATGAATAAAAATGGAAAATTATCTAAAGATCATGTTCACATTAAGTAATGACAGTTCAAATTCAGTGGGTAATGTCAAGCTTCATAGTGTAGAGTTAGGTAGAAATTACACTGAATCACATGTGATCGCAATTAAAAATGCTGACTTTTAGATCTTGTCATTATTGTTACTCCTATAAACAACTGATAATAAGCTAGTAGCGTTAGTTGCTGTAAGTCTTCAATTATTATACTGCTGCGGTAAACCAATTTAGACTAACATCATTGTTCAAACTGGTAACTTATTATGAAATTCAATATGGGACCAATTAATGCTGAACGATAGTTATTTCCTTGAACTGTTAAATCTTTACCAGTTGGTCTGACAACAACCTCTTTGTCTTATAAAATAAATATTTAAAGTGATGGGCAGTATTCACCTAAATTTTAATTAACATTACCAGAACTGTACAGTGTTGGGAGAAGATTAGTGACTGCTGATTTAATTTTAAAGAAAGAAACGAACAAGTAAACGTTACAAAAATACAAAACTGATAAGATGTAAAGGCTAACATAATGTATGCTTTTCAGCCAATGACTTAATAACAAAAAGAGGTGTTTAATTACAGAGTTATGGAGATTATTGTTTGGTACTGAAGTCGTGAATCAATCATTGTTAGACCGTCATTAGAAACCTACAAGTACCAAATGGCCGTTTCGTCCTGTTATGGGACTTATCAGCAGTGTTCATCTACAACCCCTGCTACTAGCAGGTCTTCGGTCTTTCGCTTGAACACCTAACCTCTCGATCACTTGGCCGGCATCCAGTAGTGTTAGTGTCTAACTCCGATCAACCTAGGGATTTTGCGCAACTCCACCCATTGTCTTTGGTAGTTACTGCCTACGCCCGACGGGACTGAGCTCCACTGGTCACGTTTCTCACTAGAACTCCGTGAACCTCATGAAGCTAGTTACTAGTGGGCACACTTTTTGATTCGGCATTATAGAATTATGGAGATCGTAGTTTTAGCTTGCAATCATGAATGAACCATTGTTAGACCGGGATTAGAAACCTGGAAGCATTGAACGGCCGTTTTGTCATGGTATGGGATCTCTGGATGCTGATGAGTCGCATACCAAAACTAAAAGGCCGTCCAATGCTTCCAGGTTTCTAATGCTGGTCTAACAATGGTTCACTCACGAATTCAGTAATAAATAAAAAGAGAAAATTTTCAGTAAATATAAATAAATGTAAATAAGCGGTAAAACGTTGAAAACTACTTACCACCTGATGCCATTGGATTTATAAGGTTAGATCTATCCATATGTAATTGGATTATTTCTCCTAATGATGGCTCCATGATCGTATTTCTTTCAAACTACATAAATTTTGGTGGAATAGAGAAAATAAGTTAATTTATTACGTTGAATTAAATTATTGTAAAGCAACTGATTTAAAAGAAAATGAAAATTCTATTCGAGTTTTAGTAAGGCACTAATGAATAAAAATTATTACTCTAAACTGTAAAATTGTAAAATTCATTCATTTTAAGATTAGTAGCTTTGAGAAAAATTTGACTTTTAATCAGAAATTCATGTTAACAATATCTCATAGTTTGAAGTATAGATAATATTATCTTTTATAACGAAGAGAGATGTTATTATTTTTATTTTAAGGCTGCGGATTACGAACAAATTGAACACTGTATTGTTATAACTAGGTGGATCACAACAGTAAACAGCATGCAGAAGTGACTTTTGCTAAAACGAATACATTTTTAATGCAATTAGGTTATAATGAACTAGTCACCCATAAACAAGATAAGGTAATCGGTTTAAATTTATATGTATGGTTTAAGTTACAAACAAACATTTCTGAACTCATCATATAAGTAGAATGTCTTTTTTGTTCAAATCTGAACATTGATAAACGTAAAGGTTAGTTATCGCTCAACAGTCACCGATGTTTCATTCAAAAATATTCATTATTTTTCGCAAAATCTCATTGCTATTATGTTTTCATGATGTACAACTGTAAATTATAAAAATACGTGACTGTGCTTAATTCAAAGAACGATTCACTAATTTAGTGGCTCGAGACTTGACCCTAGTTTGAACGAATGATAGAGTATACGATGAAATAAATCTTCCTTTCCGTTTCCGTATATTATACTCAGGTTAACCAAGTTTGTGTGACAGTGGTAATAAAAAGGCCAAATACGTTATTGTGGATGAATTTATTACATTTGTTCAAATAGGCAGACAGATAGGTGAATGAAAAGTGCACAATGAAAGCAAAGCGAATCGAATGAGGTGAGTGAGCCAACTTTTATGCTCTGAAGCATGACTAAGTATTCATAGTCAGTCAATAACAGGTTAGACATAAAATAAGCAAATAAGCAAGCACACATACACAATCAAATATACAATAGTCAATATTGTTACTGAATTATTACAAATATAAAAAAATGTTCGATACTATTAGTGAATAATTTAAACGACTAATTATTACAGTTAATGTTATAAATAAATAAATGGTAAGGTGCTACAAATGTCTAAAAAGTTGAATTTCCTCTCAATAAAGCAGTCGAAAAAAGATAATAAACTGACTCAACTGAACGCCGTACAAATAAAGAAATTTTTGTTAAAGAAAGCACAATCTCTCATACAGTTATACATACATTGAGAAAAATGATACTTCAACAGCATTCATATTCAAAACAAAGTGACTTATGAGTATTGAGTTACGAAACTGTGACTAATAAATAACAAGTGTTATGTTAGTAAGGTAAGACCAAATAAACATTTTTTGCATAGAATCACTCATTCCTAAAAGGCGATTATTCAGTGACAATTGATAAACAAATGATAAATATTAGCATTTTCCATACAAATATAACAATGAAACGCATGATGTTAGTTATCTGTTTCAAGTATCTCTGTGAATATAAACATTAAGATTCAATCTATGCAAATGATGAATCCCAAAAGAAGACAAAATAAATGTTTGTGATTTTATTGTCCATTTCTAACCAAAACAAAATAGAATTGCTTACATCTATTTGTTTACGATGCTCTAACCTCCTTCAACAGAATATTGTTTCTAACTTGGGTACTTTTTGCGCTAAATTATTTTCGTAATTGTTTTTTTCCTGAATTGTTCCGATAAAAAATCTTTCGGTACATTAAAGTTCTTCTTTTTAACTAATTCTTCTTATATAAGTTGAAAAATAGTTTTTCAGACGGAAAATTTGTATGCATTTTTATTCGATTATTTTGGGGAAAAAAAATATTGTTACTCTTATCATTTATTTTATTCACACTACATTAGTACAATAAAAAAAAAATAATTCGGATTTGACAATAATCTATTGACGACAATATTGTCAAATAGTGTTGTTTTGTTTTCGATCATTTGCATATTGATTTATCATCACATTATTATGAAATGAGTAAAAGCAAGTTATTGTAGGAAACAAATTTTCGAAAATATATAGAGTTTATTATGCATAAAAATTAGCATTATTCATTCATATTATGAGATTTATTTGAACATTACAAACGTAGAACAATATCAATCTTCATAGAAAACTATGAAGAATAATTTATTTGAACTAAAAGCGATGACTTATACTGGAATTCTGTGAGTTATATATTTAGTTATTAATAGACAAATTCACATTGACCAGAAACATTTCATTTGACTCATCAACAAGTTGCATAACGAAAACACTCTTTAAAATAATTAATTGTAGTTTTCTTTTTAACTTAAAATCATTACAATATTTTTCTACATTCTTAATAAAGCAATGACTATATGGTGTTATAGCCACTTATATACTGTACATCCTTGTAATAATGTTATTTAATCTGTAAACTGAGACGTTTGACAAAATCTAAGTCGTATAGATGAATAGCAATTTCGTTGACTAGTAAACAACTCATGTACATCTTTCATATTTTGCTGAGAAGAGATATATTTTCCTGGCCAATTGTTTTGTTTTGATGCTGTATAACTTTTATTTGGTTTTATAGATAATAATTATATCGTCAGTTTACATTGATTTATATGATCGACTGTATATCAATACATAAATATTACATTAAAAAGTAATAACTGTTTACCCTGCTATAAATCTACATTAATTGCTTTGTTGCATATCTAATTTAACTGGTAAGTGCTCATCATTTCAGTTATATTCATGAACAAAAAGACTGTTAACATTCATACACACAAATGACTCGGCTACATAACGGGATATTTCAGTCACCTTTTCGAGTTAATATCGATTGTTACAATACAAGATTTTCATATTCTGATTATAAATTACCGAGAGAATAAATCATATTGTTGTTAATAGTCATTTCATAAATCTCTTAATTCTTTTTTGTGACTTTGAAAATTTGTTCATTATTTTCACAGTTTTACGATGAGATGCAGACAAATATTTTTGTTACCCTACACATTGTTTCGTATTATAATTGATAAAAAAATAGTTTGAATTGTTTTTTCATTTAGCTAGACAAATTGCAAATCTTCGGAATACTCGGAATAGGTTTATTTTCAAATATTAATCTGGATCTTGATTTCATCTTAAGTTGTCCTGGGTAAATTCCGAAAAGTAAAATAGTTACATATGACCTTAAAAAAAGAACAATTAGATTATAAAAGATAATGAAAACCGAATTTTGAGCAAACAGTTAAAAGACTTTTGAAAGAACTAGAGGCTAACCTTGTTTTTTAGCCTCCCTGTAAAAGCTTCAAAAAAATGTATTTAACAAGAAGTGAAAAGCAGTCTTTCACAGCTTAAATTATTTCCTTTGTAATACCTCACATACAATAGAATTTGTTCAAGTCTAGTTTGGTTAAGCCTCTTTTAACTTATTTAACAGAGAGAGTCATTCGTATAGCTATCATTAGCTTTTATTGTTGTAGCGTTTCTATGGCCACTTATGATTAAACATTGCTTACCACCTACGTGCATATTCATTTTACTCTTTTTAGTATAAATAATTCAATGATTCATTCATTTTCCTGTGTATATAAATGTACATTTTGATCGTATTCAATCGCTCTCTTACTCACTTTCTTGCTCGATTGCTCATTTGCTCCTCGGCACCCGCATATAATTTTGCTTCGTGTACCTGTGGTTTGGTGATCTGTGTGTGGTACGATAGTGAGTGTCTTCGACGCTTCGTATTCGTCTTCTGATTTATACATTGTTGGGCGGTATCTGGTGATGACTATCAGGACGAGCAGTATACGAAGTATAAGGAAATTTCGAATACCGACCGCCACAGAACGGGTGAGCCCACATTCACTACATAATTGGTGAGCCCGATGACGAACATAATGCAGACCACAACATATATTGAAACGAAAATAAATACATTTGACATGCTAACTTACTTCAGAAGTCATTTTAAAACTATCTTCTTCACGTGTTGTTAAACTTTGAAACGTACGACTAGGTTTAGGAGGTGGTTGTGAGAATTCAAAATGCTGTAGAGAATCAGGTTGACTAGACAGCATTTTTGAAGCCACTGAGAGCGACCAACTCGGATGATTGTCTGAATCGGAAACGGATGTATGGATTAAATTGAATGACCGTGATGTAGAGTACTCATTTGATTGATATTCAGATGGCTTAAAGCTGCTTAAGTCTGGTAGTCTTTCACTACCTTGTTCAAATGAAGGAGAGGACGAAAACAAATATCCTCTGATTGAACCATCCTGAAGTAGATCAACCAGTTGTGTAGATTTCTTACTCAGTTGTCTGTTGTCAGAATTTTCCATGGTTCCTTCTGATTCTTCATGGTTTTGTTGGTCAGATAAAGATATTTGGTCATCTCGAGAACTCAGAAAGGCATCTAGTTCTAAGTTAAGTCTAGAAAGTGATGCTACGGCACTCTGACCCGGTGAACCTGCTTCAGATTTCCACGCGCGATTAGAAATGTCTTCATCTGAATGCTTAAGTTGATTATCTCCACTCCAGTCACCAGTCATCCTTCGTCCTGATTCATTTTGTGAAACTGACGGTATTTTGTTTGGTTCACATTCCTCTAGGTCTTCCATATTTTTTGGATGACTACCTCGACCGCTACCATTAGCACTTCCAGACATTGTGGCATAACCGCTAGTTGCTAGTGTGGTGGTTGGTAAATGAACATCTGTAGATACTCCATCAGCCGCTTGTTGATCCCGATTTATTGCGTTAACACCCATACTTTGAGCTCGTTTTAGTGCAGGTTGTTTAGCTAATGTTCCCGCTAAACTACCACTCATATTACCTGACATGAAATTACGTCTGTCAGCTGAACTTGAACGTAATGTTAATGAAGCTGAATTTAATCGTCTAGTAGAATTTGTAGGGACAGCTGTTTTAGCTAAACTGATTTGTCTAGCGGCTGACGGTCTAGGAACATAAATAAAAAATATGCAGCTTTTAGAAGGAAAATTTATCTCAGAATATCAAATATAACTTTTGTTTAAAACCTATACAGATTCAAAAATGCATAATCTCATTTGAGATAATAATAACTATTTAAAGACCTGTATTCAAAACCTGTTAGGAAATAACTTAACATTGGTTCACTCATTCACTTATAACGGCTAATATAAAATAGAATATTTTCAACATAATCCACTTTGTTCTGACCCCTCTTTTATTATGATTAAGCTCAATGTTAAAGTTTATATTACGGCACACCTGATTGACAGAAGTCAGATTGTAGATAAAACTGAATCAATTCGATTGATTTGTTGTATACCTTTGTCATTTCTCAAAAGGATTTGATCCCATCCCCTAAATATAGCAGAAAATATTCCAATCAAAACTTTTAAGCCCAGTTTATGTTTTCCGAAGAATTTCATGACACCCTTATCTCTTCCTTGGCTGGATCTAACTTAACAGTAGATTGAGTAATTTTTTTCTCACATTTTGTATTTTTTTGCCACTTTTTGCTCTTTCAGATTGTGTTCGTCTCCATTTAATTATTTAATCACTTCTGATTACGTAATAATGCGTTGTGATTATTATTCTGATGTTCAACTATTGACTAGAACTTTTATTATTGTATTATTCTTGTCACTTCTACTACTATTACTACTACGCCTTTTTTCTTACAATCAGTTTGTATTTTTACAGATTATGTGTGGTTACGTAATCTATTTTACTGTGATCATTGACTCATAAATCACCTGATCAGCTTAATATTTTCATATGCATATTCATGTACATTCGAGTGAAATCTGATGATGATGATCTAATTGGAGACTATAATGTTTACTTACATTTGTTGTTTTTGTTTTTACAATAGGAATCTATGATACTTATTCACAGTTGAATCAACAGTTCGATTTGTATTGATTGAACTGATTTGTATTTGACAATCATATTTCATAAACTTACTGTATGAACACATCTTCATCATACTGTACAATCAGGCATCTACAATCCTCCTTGTAATGTGAACAAAAGATTCTATTTTATTTGCTGATTATTAGTTTTTTAAAACTCATTGTTTGTTCGTGTAATTTTCTGCTATGCTTCAAAAAATTAATACAGGACTTGATAATGGAAAATGGAACTTAAACCATTTATACAATGATAGGATAGCTAACCTGTTCCTTAGGATTCATCCCAGCTATCTAGAGCAAGAAGTTCAAAGTCAGAGAAAACAGTGTATTATCCAAAAGCAGCCCTGAGCGAACAGATTAAAAAAAGTCGATTCAGATGTAATTTATGCAGTAAAAACGTCCTTAAAAGAGTTGAAAACAGTACACTTAACGAGGGTACTAACCTATAAGATTTAAAGTCCTTTCAACTGGGAAACATAAACTGAAGGTAATAAGGAGGGATTTCAGTGCAAAATAAGAGTTTCGAATTGCCAAGAATAAATTACAGAATTAAGAGGTTTCGCCAAACTATTTCTGGAGATTTAGTATCCCCAACATTTTCCTCAACCTCTTTTTTTTAAATATATGCTTCATTATTCAATCATCTAAACACTTCTTAAATAAATTAGAATTCTAATGAATGTTATTCCAGAGTCTAATTTGCCAAGCTGTTTAACCTACTACCTATTATGGTGTAAGCCTTGATTATTCTTGTCATAAGCAGTACACCAGGCATTACACTACCAATTAGCAAATTTTATCCCGCTGTTATAATTTTATATCCATCTTAATGCTGATATAAACAAGAATGTGCAATCGAATGAATGTACCAGCCTACGTCTTTATGTCTCTTATCCTCTTAATTATTAACTGTTTAAAAGCTCAATAACTGATTTGGACATTCAAATATATATTTGTTTGTCAAGTGGCATTCGTTTATTTTTCTCTATGTTTGTGTGTTAGACGGTCGAATTGTTGATTGAAACAGAGTTCCTCCAAACTTCGTTTTTATTTCCACAAATTGTAAGTCGTTAGAAATTAGGTTAGCAATGATTTTACAGTCGACTAACATCGAAGAACAACGAGAAGAAGTAACTGATCTGAAAAATGTGATGTATTTGCGCCATACATCTGGTCACACATATACTTGTCAATAAAAGGTCATTTAAATAAAAATTCAAATAAACATAAGCGGATAATTGTAAATAAAGGAGAGAGAAAATTAACGTAATATGAAAAGAATGAGAAAGAGTAGGAAATTGTGACATTACCCTTGGCCTAAAGATTACCAGGGTAAATTCAAGGTTATAACAAATTGTTTTTGTACACATAAGAGGGGTTTTAATTTTCGAGTAGCTAAGGCCTCCATAAACATCAAAATTCGTCCTTCAACTTTTCTATGCTATGTTTTGAAGGCTGTCTTGATATCAGTCTTATGCCCTGTCTCAATTATGTGTTTTGCGATCGATGAACATGGTTTTCTATTTTCCACGCTAATCGGCTCGTCTGACGTTAACTGGTTTTGAAGCCACTTAGGTACATGCTCCATAATCCTTGATTGTAAAGTTCGATTACTCCTCCCTATGTATGTGTGTCCATACAAACTTGTAAATTGATAGATGCAATGGGATGTGATGTAATCATTCGAGTAACGTTTAGGTCTATGTGGAATCATGGGCTTAGTCTTTTCAATGATAATCAGTTTAGCAGCGTTGTATGTTTTCGCTATGGCTACTTTTAGTTTCTGTCTTAATATTAGGCTATTTGTTTCACCTCTAAATGGTAAAGTGATATAAACCTTTTTCAGCTCAGTAGAATGAAAAACAGGCTTTTGTCTTAACTGATTACTACACCTATTGATGAACTAGCGGATAGCCATTTGAAATCAATGCTTCCGTTAAGAATTTTGCATCATCGTCAAATGTATCCGTGGTGCAAATCCTTTGAGCCCTATTGAAGAGGCATTTTACTAAACCTCTCTTATATTGCAGTGGACAAAAACTGCTGAAATTTAGATACTGTCCAGTCCAGGTTGGTTTTCTATAAACCGAATCTATAGCACAAATACATCACATTTTTCAGATCAGTTACGTCTTCTCACTGTTCTATCGAAATCGATAATATCGAAGAATAGAAATCATTGTAGAGAGATTCACAACAACTTTTTTTGTAATTCGATTCTGGCAGAAACATTGAAAATGTAACATTTATACCTTCTGATTCATAGTTTCTCTTTACATTCTGATATGACATTTAAAAAGTCTTGATACTTTAGTTTTTACATACAATAAAAACTATTAGCTAGATGAACCATTCATTTATTATAAAGATTGTATTTTTTTTTAATAACACGAAACACTATTCGTCGGCAATTTGAACAACACAATAAAAATGAACTAAACAATAAAAGAAATTTCTTTAGTAGATAAAAATGATATATTTTTCTGCATAAACAGACATTCTATTCAGCTGTTCAGATTAAGGTTTTTTTTGAAATCACTTGTTATAAAGTATACGATACATTACTTTTTAATTGTAAATAAATGTATGTGAATTACTAACATACACCACCGTCCTATCAATTTAAAATTATGGTCATCAGATTTTTTTTTAAAAATATAATTACAACTAAGAAAAATGTAGAAACTGCACTAAATGGAAAAAATATTTTTTATTCTTCGAAAAACACTGATTTTTTTCTATGTTATTGAATCAGTACTTATATAATTATCCCTCTAAAGTGTTAATGTACAATTACTTATTGGATTGAATCAGAATTATTCAAAGTTCACTGGGATCATACTATTATGAAAGTAATTACGGGAACAATAAAGGGGGTGGAGTGCATGCATATAGCATACAACTCTCTTTGAACCTATCACACAACAATAGCGTTAGGCACTGTCCCATTGTCCTTAGCAGATCAGGCAACCGGAATGTCAAGAGAACACAATCAGATCATATGACAGGCTAGGTAATTATTAGTTTAAATCACCTAATCGATAACTTCCTATTGAAGTGAATGATACAAAGAGGATTGACTGAACCTGATATTACCAACTAAAAGCTTTTAAGATTATTTCTGAATATGCATCGTTTATTTTAAGGTGATTTTCTAATGGAATAATTCGGGTAAATTTTAAAAGAGTTTATAAATACAGAGATCTATATATGCTCATCATAATAACTGTTTTTACATTCAAATCAATTGCAAATAATTAACCCAATAGAATAGTGTAAATGAGTAAATGATTTATTATAAGAATTCGTAAAATTTTCTACTATACCTTTCGAATGGAGGTCGTTTCTCATAATTTCTTTGAACATATTCCTGTAATTCCTGTTCTGTACGTCCAATATATCTTAAAAATAAAGTAACGAAAAGTTTTAGTTAACAAGAAAAGAAATCAAGTGAATTTCAAGTTATGATTAATAAAATAAAACCGCACCCATTTCAACCTCCACCTGAAGCGCCTCTGAGGTTACTGCCGGTCTTAATGCCACATAAAAAAGGAGGATCAGGCATGGGGTTGGTGACCCTATCCCGTAGAAAACTAAATCACTAAAACCGCTGCCTAGAGAAAATAATTCAAATCATCTAGACTCTGCCCACTGAGTTGGAAGAACTTCAATCAAAAGAGTTATGGCGTCTCATGATGAAAGCCGATTTTCTTCGGAAGTTACGAGGCCAATGCGCCTTCTGAAAACCAGAGCAACCACTAATTTAGGCACATAAAATGTACGTACAGTGTGAGAGACCGATAGAGTCATGGGAGTTGCTGCAGAAACGAAAAGGTACAGGCTGTACTTTGATCAAGTGAAACATTGGATGAAGGTTGGGCAAAGAGAATTTGCTTAAGGAGAGATACTGTTAAACTCATACCATGGACAAGAAAATGCTCCACAAACATAAAGATTTGCTTCGACGTTGTCCAAAGAAGCATAAAGAAAACTGGTATGATAGGAATCTCAAGGAGTCAGTATCAACTAAGCATCCTTCTTAACAAAGAAAGAGGCATTACAGTGAACGTCATCCGATGCTACGCAACTACCAATGACTACAATGAAGACAGTAACGATCAATTCTACAAGAGGCTGCAATAAATTGTTGAGAAATGCCCGACAAAAGACTCAACAATTGTGATGAGAGACCTAAACGCCAAGGTCGGCATGGACAACACTGGATATGAAGACATCATGGGACGACATGGACTAGGAGGAAGGGACAAAAATGGTGAGAGATTTGCAAACCTATGCACCTTCAACAAACTGGTCATCGGCGGCACAATATTCCCAGAGAAACGCATACACAAAGCTAGATGTTTCACCCTGGATCACATCACACAGAACCAAACAAACTACCTATGCAATGAAAGCAGACATTACTATAACTGCGAAGATGTTCCACGCACTCTTCAGAAAGATTTGGGAGGAAGAACAAGTATCATCAGGCTGGAAAAAAAGACACCTAATCAAGATACTAATGAAATTGGATCTCAGTAAGTGTGACAACTCTATAAGTATCACTCTTCTCTCGGTAGCAGGCAGTATTCAACAGGTTATTGTGAAACAGAATCAAGGACTTCGTAGACGTCCAACTTCGATATCAACAGGCTGGATTCCATGAAGACCGATAGTGTTATGATTGAACCGCAACATTACGGATCATTGTGGAATAATCAACTGAGTGGAACTCACCGCTCTACATCAGCTTCATTGACTATGAGAAAGCCTTCAACAGCGTGGACAGGATGAAACAATGGAGGCTTCTTCGACACTACAGTGTGCCTGAAAATGTAGTTAACATCATATAGAATTCTTATGATGGATTAAACTGCAAAATCGTGCACGGAGGACAGCTAACAGACTCGTTTGGTGTGAAGACCGGTGTCAGACAAGGTTGTTTACTCTCACCCTTTCTCTTTCTTCTGATGGTCTTAGGGTTATGAAGACGTCAAGATGTAAGGGCAAAAATTTGATACAATGGACAGCAGGGATGCAGCTGGACGATGTATACTTCGCAGATAATCTAGCCCTTCTAATCTACACACAGTAACCAATGCAAGAGAAGACAACCAGTGTAGCAGAAGTAGACCTCGAAGTACACAAGGGAAAGAGCAAGATCCTCCGATGCAACACAACGTGTACCAACACTTACGTAGAAGCTATGGAAGATGTAGAAACTTGCACATACCTGGGCAGCATCATTCATAAGCAATAGGATTCTGATGTGGATGTAAAAATACAGATTAGAAAAGCAATAACAGCAATTCTACAATTGGAGAACGTCTGGAACTCAAAACGACTATCAAAAAACACCACAGCAACAATTTTCACTCTGAATGTCAAGATTTTTTTCGTGTATGAAGCGGAAAACTGGAGAACTACAAAAGCCATCGTCCAGAAGATACAGGTGTTTGTAGACAGTTGTCTACGAGAGATACTCTGAATCCGCTGGCCAGTCACTATTAGTAACAACCTACTAAGGGAGAAAACAAGCCAGATTCCAGCGGAAGAAGAAATGAGGGGGTGGTGCTGGAGGTGGACAGAACACATATTGAGGAAAGCACCCAACTGCATCAAATAACAAGCCCCAACTCGAAATCCTCAAGACCAAAGGAAAATAGGTAGACCAAAAAACACATGGAGCAGAGAATTGGAGGAACATATGAAAAGAATGAACAGCAATTAGACAAAACTAGAAAAGAATACCCAGAACAATGTAGGTTGGAGAAAGCTCATCGGTGACCCATGCTTTCTTAGGAGTAACATGCTTAAATAGGTAAGTAGTAGGAACTTATTTCAATTACTCTGTTAACAATTTTCAAATGAATAAATATTAAATGTATAATTCCCTAGTATGTTATTTCACCTACTTATAAAATTGCAGAAACCGATTGCAAATATAAAATGAATGATATATGTTGATCATGTGTGTAAATATCAATAATTTTTCATATCATTCTAAGCTTGTATTGCTCATTCAGTTCAACATCAGCAACATTGAAATTATGTAATCTTATTGGTATTATTTATCGATTATTCGTCCACCAGTTACTAGAGTATATAGTAACTTAGTGAACAAAACAGCTTAATTATAGTCTTAAATAATGTTACCCAGCCAGATCTTGATATTATTTTTAAAAATTACGGTTGGGATTCTTTATTACAGTTGAGTGTTTGAAAAAAAAGTGTTCGAATTGATTTTAGCGCAGTAATTTATTAATATTTAATTTAAAAAACAATTTTAAATGGTCATAAAAAGCTGAAAACTCTTTGTCATGTTCAAAAAGTATTTTTGCGATGCTTCATAGCTTAAACTTTATTAAAAATTACTATTTTTATTACAAAACTATTTACGTAAAAATTGCAGCTTCTTTGAACCTAAAACTATTCTTATCAAATTGTTGATAGAGTGACGTAGTGTACAATAGCTTACCTAAAAGAGGATCCACTTGATGCTAAACGTGAACGCCTTTGTAATTTACGATCAGGATAAGTACATCGGAAAAACGTATGATGCTCAATGGATTTTTTCCAAAACTGTTTGCATTCATCACGTGAATCAAATATAAATTCAATTGTGTCCTGTCCGAGTATTTCATTTTACGTAGTGAAAAAATGGAAAAGGGAGATTAGAATATTTTGAACAAATAAAAATGAATAAAAAAAATTCAGAAGCAATAAAATTAGTACAGCAATACAAACAGTTGGTTTTGATGCCAGAGTACTTAGTGTTTTGATGTTAGGTACTTAAAGATTAGATACAAACACCTCAAATCTAGTTCCCTAAGTTAGCTGGTACTCATCAACAAAGAAACTGATTAGAACCCGCACCAACTAGTATCACAATTAAAGATATAAATGATGTTACAAAATTTACTAAATCAGACCAACGTTTATGTAACAGATTCAGCGTTATATCGAGGTGATCCGTATAGAATGTCTATACGTCAACCAATACCGATCAAATTTCAGTCAATATATCAACAACAAGATAGTCCAACCGTTTACAATCGATTCTGATCTATAGCTCTTGGCTGTCGATAATGAAGTCATTATTCTTTATTGAACATTTATCAGGATTATATGAATTTTTTGACATAGTTTTATTGTTTTAATCAAGTAAAAAAATAGTTAATGTAATGTGAAAATAGTTTGTCTCGTAAATAATTACTGAATTAGTAAATTATTTACTGGGCCTTGTTGTCATAATTGTGTATTTATTAACAAAAAAGTACTTCTATTATCTAAAACAAGTATATTTCATACAGAAATATGAGGCTAAAACACGTCTTCTCCGCTGTTACAGTCAGAAAATATGAAACATGTAACAACAAGATAATGGTAGTTTTATAGAAGAAATGGAATGTGACTAGTAGTAGAACCCAGGGCGTTCATTTAGTCGCCAGGATGTAAATTGTTTTCAGAATTAATGTCCACTTTGGAATTTATACTCAATATCTTTAGCTAGGTACGCTGATGGCTACTTAATCAGCCACTGAGTCCAGATAGCTACTTTCTTGTGCTATGGATGTGAATTTAATTAGATTTGTGCTACTTGACTATCAGGATTAAGTATCTAATTGGATAAACTGCTAGCTTATGAAGCAAAACGTACTGAGTTCGAATGCCAAGGAGAACAATAACTCTGAGATAAAGGCAAATAAAGCGACAAGTGGTCATAATCCACTTTTTTCTATAGAACGTGTAATATGATTGCTGTATCAAGGCAATCCCCGAGGGATGAACATATATATTAACTAAGACTGATCAAAATTTCCGTCAAGAGTATCAATAACGGGATAACTGAAAAACTCTTTTAAATGAAATTAAACAATGGTTTTTTGTTTTTTGATATAACTTCCTCTCTACTAGTTTGATGTTTAAACGATATGTTTCCAAAAAAGGAAAACAATGAACATTGGGCATAAAAAATGTACACCAATATATAACGATGCATATCATGTAGCCATTGATGCATAGCTATAATCCTTTTTCTATCAGTTATTACTATGAAATAGAAAGAATTAGAAAACTACATGAAACAGTTACGCAATACAGAATTTTAACCCATCTTAATCTACAGTGTACTTGGCAGCGAACAAATAATAGAACAGAAATAATATTAATTGACTAGTTTTTGATAAATCTTTAGTGTGTTTGATTTTGTTTCGCCAATTATCATGGGAATCAATATTTAACCGACACTATTCTTTATCGTCAGACTTCATCAACATACGACGCTTAAACAATAGATGACTGAATAATACATTAACTTTCTTGTAAGACTGTACAGTACACTTGTTGCATCACAGTTGGATTAGTAGACCGATGTGTCTCTTATGTAATAGTTATGGAGAGTTTATATTTGTTAAACAGACAATAGTGATTAGGTCTAATATTAAACTATGAACTAAATTTAACATGTTATACAAATAACTAAATCTCTTCACCAAATATTGGACAATTTTACAAGCAAATCCTTAATCTTATTTATTAATCCCTCTGTCATTCATCTAAACATATAGTATTAGTGTTTGTTTGTTTTCTGTATTTAGTACTTATCAATAGTTTATACTGACTATTGAGTGAATTTATGTAAATAATTTTAAAAAAAAAACATTTTACCACGATCAAATCACACATCGAGATACGTCATCAATAGTCAACAGTTACTGTTGAAGTTCGTTTTTAATGGTCACTTCGTTAAGAAGTTGAAATAATGGCAGTAAAACTTAATTTACAATATTCTCAATTGAAATTTGTTGAATAGATTTTATTGAATAAAAATTCACAAATCTCTTGCGTAGGTTTGCATAATGAAGAGGATTATTTGAATATAGATTAGAAAAAATTTATTCTTTACGGCTAACAAACTTTAACTAAGTAAAAAGTGTGAAAATGATTAACAATGTATTACAAAGTAGGACAAAAAAAATAAAACATTCACAGGAACATATACATTTATGTCGGTTTATTTTATTGTAAAGCAATAAGTCTCATGCATAATTTTTTCCCTCTGAATTATGATTATTATTTTTTTTGATGTCTGGAAATAGACTGAAATTGGGTTTTTTTTGTCAAAACAGTTTGAGATACCCAAGAGAATAGCATCCAAAGAAATGAAGATTTTTAAAAAAAATAATCTTTAGCTTTGTCATCTCGTAAAGAAATATAATCAATTGCCCTAAACGAAATGAATGTGATCATGCGAACAGTTGTAAATGGAAAAGCTGCATTATTTTAGCTATTTATTGAATGTTTGACTGTTGTGTTAAGAGTCTTGCGCAATCTGTCTGACTATATTCCGTTATTCTATAGGGTTTTCTTAAATTATTCAACCCATATAACTAGTGTTCATAGGATTTAAAGTCAGAGAAATTTCTAAATGATAAATATAAGGTTTAAATAAGCATCCAGTTACCCGATTGATTGCATTTCAACACTTATTAACTTACATTATTCCATATAACACTTAGTTTCACCACTTTTAATAGTTATAATACAATGAACAATAACAACGAAATACAAATCACAGCGATTGGTAATTACTTGATATGCTCGTCAATTGATATACTTGAATGCTATTACGAGTTTACCTTATTCGGTAAACGGAACGAAGTTCAATCATGTGGTGACACAATAGGGTAGTCTAATCCGATTGTCTGAGGCCCGACTAACTAGAGTAAGAAGTCTTGATAAGGCGTAGAGAATGTATTCTACAGGCACCTTATAAAGGATGACGTTGCTAAGCACACAAACCAAGCTTATTTATACAGTGATAGAAACGCCCTTGGTGAGAGCCATAAAATAGCCTACTAAAATAATCTATCAACCAATGACAGTCAAGGATTTTCCGAGTGCGAAATGCAAGCTGAAGGTCACCTAAGCGTCTGATGAGCGAAAACACAAAAGATTCAAAATTTCAGGATAAATTACAAGATTAAGACCTTTTGCAAGTGAGTTCATGGGATCTAACGTCCCCAACCTTCCCATAGTTTTTTAAAAAAAATTCTACTTACATAAGTATCTGGATGTAGTTTGACAAGAAATCGTTTACGTTTGAAACTGAGCTTTCTTATTTTTGCCCAAGAGAAAGTATTGACTTTTATTAAATTTTGAAACACTAATAAACCAAGATGTGTAACAGCTAGATTAAGTGCTAAACCTTCATGATCCTGTAAAATAGAAAAGAAAATTAAAGAAATACAACTAAAAAGGTCAAACAGAAAATAAGATTAAATATTAGGAATATTTCAGTGTAATTATTTTCATGTAATGAACATAAAAAAAATGAATAAATAACATAAGAAATTTTCATCAAATTTCTAACAAAGGTTGGTTCATTCTTTATTGACTGGTTTTTAAGATAATTTACCGATTGTTATTTTTAGCGGCTCACGACTGGACTCCAGTGCGGATGAATGATCGAATGGTGAGATGCCACATATTCGTAGTCATAATAACGAATTGAGATTTTTGTCATTAGAGGCAAAATAGCAAAGCATATTCATTTCATTCATTCAATTACTTTTTCATATGACTTAAAAATTCTGTTGAAAACACTGATTAACAAAATATCATTGAACATTTTTTAGTTGCTTTGAGTGAATTTAACAGAAATTGTTACATCACTGGCAGGACTGCTTCAAACCATAGGTCAAAACACATCGGTGATGCGTACTCATCACTACTTATGTGATAACATCTTGTAGTGCCTCCTCATTTGAATTTGCTCATATTTAGTTTGATTAAGCCTTTCGATTAACTTATTTAACCAAGCCGTTGGCATAGCAACAAGTTATTTGTAGCATTAGTTTTTATTATTGTCTGGTTTGTATGAGCTGGTACGACTGAGCATTGCTTACTGCATACGCACATATTCATCCTATTCGCTTTAATGTTAATCTCTTAAATATCTCGATGACTCAGACATTTTCATATGTATAGACACGAAGATTTTAATCTTATTAATACATTCGAACATTCACCAATTCGACCGTTAGTGTACCTGCCCAGTCTGCTTGTGGTTTGCTGTTCCATTTTGTGGTGTGCTAAAAATAAACGAATTCAACACTTCGTATTTGCTTTCTGATTTATAACGTTTCAGGTGTTATTCAATGACCATTGCCTAGACCAGCGAATTACCAAGCTTGAGAACACGTTGAATATCAACTGTGACGAAGCTAGTGATAAATTGGCCACCACAATCTAAAACAAACGGATTTTGTTGTCTGTAAGATATAATTTACGATATTTTTAATTAGAGTTACGGAGATTAGTATCTTTACACATTTGAAATCATCAATCAATCATTGTTAGATCACCATTAGAAACATGGAAGCACTGGACGGCCGTTTCGTCCTGGTATGGGACTCATCAGTAGTGCGCATCCATGACTCGGGACGCCTAACCATCGGACCACTGGGCCGGCATCCAACGGTGTTAATGTCTAACTCTGATTGATCTAGGGGTTTTGCGCGACCTCACCCATATATACACAATTTAATTAATGTGTAATAATATGATGTGTTTTCTGTGATATTCCATGGTTTTGCTTATGTGATGTCAGAAATGAAATTATCTTTCTATGAACTATATACGTGCATAAATACACTTACACGTGCAAAATGTAAACGAACTCCATAGAATTCTATTTTTCTCGCTGTATCCAATAACGCGAAATCTGCTTCTGTTGGTGTTAATCCACTATTTTTTAAACAATCAAAAATAATATAGAAGATAGATTAGAAAGTGACAAATCGGATGAAATGAGATATTTTATTCACATCATATTTAGTATCCTTTTACGATTGAAAATATTTTTCTCCTGAGATCTAATTTACATTTTATTTTCTTAATAAGAATGAAGCTATATTTTATAGCTGTGACTTAAACTAGTCACTGATATGAAAATTAGGATAAATGTAAATCAAATAGGAATACAGAATTCTAGTGTAATATTCACTAGAATAAATTATACAAATATGTTTGACCTAATGAAAATTTCAGCCTCCATAGAAATATATTGTATAGAGGATGAATGATTATCTGACTATTTATGACTACTTGATAATAAATTTTGTTGTATGTCAATAGAGTTGCTTTGTGTTAATTGGTAGACAGTAGCAAAAATCCATATCACACATTGTCAAACACATCAAAGCCATGATGCCATCATATTTCACTTGAACATTTATGTTAAATGTAAGATAATAATTAGCAAAACTATGGTTAGTAGTTTATCATAACTTTACGATGAAATAAGCATCGTCATTAAGTTGATTTTAAGTGCTACTTAATTAGGCAAGAATGGCAGGTCAATAGATGAATTAGTTAAACTTCATCAGTTGAGATGGTTGGGACATGTGTTACGTATGCCTAACCACCGACTGCCTCGACGAGCTATGTTTTGTGATGTAGGAGTAGGTTTGAAGAAACCTAGAGGCGGCCAAACCATGAAGTCACTGATAACTGGATTGAGCCATGTTAGTAGTAATCGATGGTTAGAGATCTTGAATAACATGGCTAAAAACCGTTTGCGATGGCGCAGGTGCTTCCATTTTTTGTGTTCTGTCAAAACTTAATATTCTGAATTCCTCATCACCTCTATAAATTTTTTTAAATTTATTTCTCTAGATCCTACTTCTTGAATAATATCATCGAACTCTAATCTCTCCGATTACTGCGAATACACCCACTACCTCTACTGCTAGCGAATTTGACTTGACAATTGTGTCTGTGTGCTAATGTGGTATGACAACTTAAACTGATGTACATAGGTACGAAGTTCTACTGACTGATTTGGAAACTTAATCGTTGGTACAATTATACAAACAATTTAACAATAAATTTTTGCTTACATGTGAGATTTGTGAAATTCTCTAACTCGTCGTAGGCGTTCGTCATTTGGTTCATGAAGTAATTTTAATGATTTCAAGTAAGATATTGTTCTGTATTCTTCTTGAATAAAATCACCAATCTCAGCTACATGATAAAGCATGCATGAATTATAGAGATGTAATAGTAAATGAACAGAATAGTTTAATACAATAATAACAAGTTAAGTCTCGGTCTATTGAAATGATTGCAAAACGCTTAAATCAGGATATATTGATGTGATCACGACTTGAATGTCATTCTAAAAAAACAAATATCAAATACATGGTCCATCATGGAACTCGAGTTAATTGGTTATAATTACCCCAATATTTGATTCCTTCGAATTAATCAGCGAAATAAATGCCATCATAAATCATTCACAATGATAGATTGAAAAAAACTAGTGGAATACCATCACGTTTTTCTTGAAAGAAATTAATGCTCACATCTGTGTTCAATAAAAGTGTTTTGAAAGTATATACACTTTATTATGTAAGGTTTATAGTGTTACATTTTATTTTTAGTGACCATCCTGCGATGAATGACTTAACAAGGCAACACACTAATTTATTTTACCATACTATTTAAATTTAAATAGTGAGTAAACAGTATGGTTTGAATGCTTCACAGCTTGTGATGAAACTGCGAACTACATATGTATCAGTAAAATTCCACAATTTGAAAATAAACATTCCACAGCGAGTGATTCTTTTTTACTGTATTTACTTGAAGATTCAACCAATTTTATTTTAAAAAAACATACTACTAATAATTAGTATAAAAATATAATAACAATTTAGGGTACTACTTCAAGTTTAATTGAGAAAGCAGTTCAATGCATAAACTTCCATATTCTGAAAGGATGTACTACTCTGTCTACAAGATTTCTAAACTAAATCAAAAAATTACTTTGGATTTATTCTGCCTGTATAATTTCATTGAGGTTTATTTTCATAGCTAACTATAAAAGAACTCAGAAATTCCGTATCACTTATGAATAAGTAGTTGGATTTTTACTTCAGTTTTTAAACAATGAACAATGATGAAATGATTTTTGGGGGAGAATGTTCCATATTTTGCCGCATGAAAGTAGTCATCCATGTGTTACCAGTCTGTTTCTTCCAAAAATCCTGAGAATCCATTAAGTAGTTTGAGGAAACGTCAATTAATTTTATGATTGATTTTTACTGTCACATAAATATGAATAAACTGTACCAGAAGTGTATCAAGGTGATCATATATTATTTCCTGAATAATGATCTAATTTTAACTAACATGATAATTAGAATAGGAGTTAAAAGCTCTGCTCAACAATTAGGTAAACTTATCTTCATTTGTAATATCAGAAAATTAATAGCAAAATGTAAATAACAAATGCATGATGATTATTATTTTATTAAAATTATGTTTTAGTACTACCACTATTATTATTATTATGATCATTACTCTTGTTACCTTGTACAATATATGAAGCAAGTAGAGCAGCTGTATTCTCACTACATAGTAGTGTGCCGGTAACCAAATCGCGTTTTATTTGTAAAGCAAACAAATATCTGAAATGATGATAAGAATAAAAACACTAAGCAGTTTAAGAAACTAGGAATCATTCAACAACGGGTTTAGTAAACTCAAATTCTCATCATAAATACTGAATACATAATTTATTTAATGTTTAAAATGATGAGTAAGCTTGTAAAGTGAGTTTAATGAAATGTTTGAATACCCATAAAATAAGTTGGTTTATATTGACATTTGTACTTAACAAAACTGAAACTAGAAGTTTGTAATCTCACTCAGTTAACTCTTAATCTGATAGATCCTAATGAGGTATTTCAGGACAGGAAAATATCACTACTATTCATTACTTCATGATTTTTCACCGTTCTTCATTAAATATATTTTTTCTGCCACAAATCACATACTGGGTTACTAAAACGTCTGAGAATATAGTTCATCAACATATACTGAAATTATCTTAATCCAAAGGAAAAACTGTGAATGAGATTATTGATTGTATGTTAACCTTAACGTTATCTTTCTATTCTTAATTATCGATAGCTTTTTCCCAGATGATTCAGTGATCATTATGGCCATTGACGTCAGTTGTGAGCATAAACAAACGAATTAGTTTCAATATTTTATGTGGTCTTTCTTCGTGAAAATAAACAATTTCCCTCAATACACTACCATTATAAAATGGATTAAAACATTCAGACCAAAGTTTTAATTCAGTTGTTAAATGGAAAAATTGATTTTTGTAATAAATTATAAACTTCCAGGGTTCCTTCTTACACGTCTATAGTTTATAGAATCGTTAATGTTTAAATCAATTAAACTTGTCGATACGTTAGGTAGAACAAAAAACAGGGTATTTTAGCAGTTGCGCAAACTTTAATCAAAATGCCGTAGTCATTCACACGACTAAGAATATTAGTTAACAAACTCATTACCTACAATAAGGTTTTTGTATAACAAATCTATGTTATACTTCTTACTTCTGATTCAGCTGACACAAAACCTCATTTAGACGTTAGCATGAGTTTTGCTATCCTATCTATTTGTCCATGATGGGAATTGTATTATTTCAAATTTCTTTTTAAATCTATGGTTCACATGATCAACTCTTCAAATGATCACATAATATCAGAAAGTTTTGTTTGTAAAATTAACATTTAACAAAGTGATTGTTTCAGTAAGAAGATCATTTCATGAATATAGTTTACAGTTACCATACTTTTATAACTAACCTTGTATAGGCTTCTTCGAGTAAATTAGGATGTGGTGTGTAAAATTTAACACTGAATCGATAAATGAAATCTCGGTTTGTCGAATGTTGTCTCATCACAGTTTTATTGTGATCTAACCAACACTATAGAAATGAGAACAAAATAAAAATAAATAAATATAATTTGTTTCAGAGAGAATATTTCATACAAAGCGTATATGTGATATGATATTATAACTAAGGCCATTATAAATAAGTATTTATACTAAGACCGATTGAGGACATCTTGACCAGACCAGACAAAATTCAGAATTAGCAATACACAATAAAGTATTAAGAATCTACTCTTTTATATGCTGAGGATAATCGGTAGCATCAAAAAAGCGCAAACTTTCGAAACAAACACACTTTATTATTGAACCATTGATTAAAATACCTAATGCTTAGTTTTATATTCACTGATATTTACCACTAAAGAAGATCAAACCTATACAGAAATGATGACTAAGTAGAGTACAATGTAACTAATAGGGGCATTCCAAATACAACTACCACTTTTACGTGAACGAAAACTAGGCAGTTAATCTATTATAGTTTTCTATATTCATTGAAAACGCAAATTCGTCATAGTTTTGTTTTGTTTTAAACGCCTTATTTCAGATTATTCATCGGGTGGAGTAAGACAGAAGGTTCAAAAATCGCAGAATCACACATTCTAAATGGAAATTTTATATTGAATTTCATCACATTTGTTCCGCCATGTACATTTTTTTAGAAACTTATTGATAACTACTTATAAATAGTTACATCAGGTTTATGAGTAAACAACAATCACAATATTTGTATGTATGGAATATTTGTATGGCTAATCTAAAATAATGACGACATTTAGATAATCTAATATTTAATCTGTTATGGATTTAAAGTAGGATTCCAGATCTTATTCTCTAACAAATATTTGTTTGAATGTATCTTTGAAAGCTAACAACGTTTTCGTACAGAGAATGGAAAAAAAGCATTATTGGTAAAAACTGATAAACAGTTCTTATTACAAAGTTGTATACGACGAGAAATTGAAGGGATAAGTTTATAAGAGTAGATCAAACTGCATATACATAAGAACAAAGATAGTTATCAATAGGGTAGGCATTGCCTGAAAGACTGATTACGGTTAACCTAATAGTAATACATGAACTGAAAGCTAACAAAATATCGCAGTGAAAAAATGTAATAAACATCGTTTCTTTACATTGTCCTGCCTTTGTTTGCATAGTATAATCAGAGATACCATAAAATAAATTTGAAATTGATGAAACACAATATAGCTGTAACATTTTTTGGGATGAATTAGTGATGTCATTGATAACAAAGAATTTTTTATGAATACATTGAGTTATTTAAGAGTATAACTACTTATTAATTTTGAGTAGATTATGAAGTGTAACCTATGTTTTCGATGGTTTTTGCAAATTAGCAGTTTGCTCAACAATATTTTAGCTTATTTACAGTAAGAAACAAATTCACCGACGCCAATAAGAGATTTTAGCAAGTTTGCAAAAGGTAAACTGAGAATCAATGAACCTAAAACAAAAAATCATGTCTTCAGCAGAAGCATTTAAGTGAACTGGTATGCATAAGAATGATTTTCAAACAAATCTACATAACAAACATTACTTCAAGTAACTAACTAAAACTATGAGGGTATTAATATTTTTATAGAGATAAGAGAATTTATAAGCTAAAGAATCGGATTTGCAGGAGCCTGACATTTTCAAATATTACCATAGACTGATTAAATAAACATCAAAGAATAGAAATGAATTTTTAAAAGTTTTTGCTATTTTATTTACTAATTATTACCAACATTGAACACTACTGCATAATTCGATTGACAGGAAAAATTTGTTATAAGTCTACCACTGGTGTTTGTGTTAATCTTATGCTGTTTTGTCCCATATTTAGGCTATTGAAAAAAAGGATTTTCATTTATTAATTTCGTTAATATTTAATTAATGTTCAATCATATCAAGCTCAGTAAGCTCAGTAAGAAGTAGGCGATTCTTTAAGACAAATATAAACTTGGAACAAAGAAAAATGTCTACCTGATCGTCAAAAAATGAAATTGGTAATTTTTAAAATAAACGATTAAAATATAGATTAATATATATTTCAATTCGTATTAGTGATAGTTTCAACCTCGGACGACAGACGCTTTCGGGTCTTACATAAGTATTGAATTCGATAAAGCAAAATGAAACAAACAGAAACGAATGTATTTTTTTGTAGTCAATAATTTGATGTAAATTAAATATGGTGTATTATGAATCAGTAGATCAACTGAAACTCAGAAAAATAATGACAGAAAACATGAAACTCCATTTAAAAGATTGTATTAGGTAGGTTTTTCAGTACACTAGAAAATTATCTGAATGTCTAATTAAGCTGCATGTTAACCTGTAAAAAGACAGTGTATCATTCATTCATTCATTCATTCTGATCAGACATGTTTTTCTGGTTGATGTTGGATAACTCAATAAGGATAGATGTGAATTAAAGCAAATAAGTTCATTTCGATGTTATGTAAAATGTGAGTAGCTTTAATATCTGATCAGCAATTACATATGATTTCGTAATTTTAATACCGATTTATAATCTGAAATTCAAAAATTAGTGTTCATGCAGTTACAAAATGATCACCGTTCCATTTTTTTGTAAGTCATGAATGTTAAGTAATTTTCAACAATGAAGGCTTGATGATTCACAGTTCCTGAGTTAAATATGTCTCAGTTTTTATTTATTGAGAGACGGATGTTATATGAATAATTGAAACATTTCGGTCAAAATTTCAGTCATCTATTTTGCATTCTCGAAGAATATTTTCAAGGGGTTTATTACTATATCCACAGAGTAAAATCTAGACTTCACAATCAGAGACATTGTCATTAAACTAATTATCTAGTCTCATATAAGTTGACTTTTAACGTGTAAAATTTAGAATTTAGTTCATTATTATTATTGATCTTTCATTATGTTAGTAACGTGGAAAATTTAAAAGCTGACTTAGGATTTATTTACTTGATATGTAAAGGGTAATCAACCATGACTTCAAAAACTATCAACCACCAACCAAATGTTTTAAAAACTTTGCAAAGCAAAGTTCCATTTTAAAAATAATTCGGACATTGTTATATAAGCATTTAAAAAAATTGATTGGCGCTATACTAACAATAAATCGATTTCCATTTATTAAATCATTAAATCTCAGTCATTTTTTCAGACCACATAACTGGACAACTTTTATATTCTTCATATGAAAAGAATACCATTGGCAGTGTCACTTAAAAATTAAGATGAATAAACCCTAACTGAGCAATCAGGCGTTATTACTGGAAAAATGAACTAACTAAACAGTATATCTGATAAAGATAAAGGTTTAAAACTAAGTTAAAAACTATTTCCACTCCCCATATTTTGATTTGACTGTGGAATAATTGAGCCATCTGATTATTCTCGGGATGATGCTTTCATTACTGAATTAAACTATATCAGAATTGTTTCTTATGAAATGAATACTAGCCTACTTACTTCAAACAGTACTAATAAAAACACTTAAATTCTAATATCTTCATAAATTTAAATAGTAAACTTGTAGTAACTATACTTTATTGGCAGTCTCAATGTATGGGTTTTGATATGAAATAGTTAAAACAACTACAATATACTACAATTTAATTGAAAAATAATAAATTAATGTATACTGTAATAAATGACGATGATATTCTCCAATGTAGCGGAACATTTTAAAGTGATATACTGTTAATTCTCTAATTCACTCTTTACATTTATTATATTCTGTAACATCATTGTAAACTATAATTCGAAGCTACTGTAAATCATCCAGTATTCTAGAAAAATGTATCTATTACATTCTGATTTCACAAAGTGTACTTTCTAAACTATTTCTAAAGAGGTAATAATCTCCACAAATTAATATTGTTTCCAGTTAATTATCAATAATGTGCCATTAAAAAATCACTAAATCATAGAAAACAGAAACACAATATTCGTGTAATGTGTGAGCGATTTGAAATGGTTGATTATTAAAGACCTTGGATTTAACAGTGATACTCATTTATTAGAAAGATATATTTTACCGCCTATGTAAAAAAGAAAATTTACAATAGGAAAAATACTAACAAGCAGCTGTTGATATTGATAAGTATTTCTGCTATCAAATAAATTCAACCAAAAAATATCACTGTTAACAAAAAATGGTTTTTTTTTCTTTAATATGAATTGCGACAAAAGCTGAGAGTATTGATGCTGGCTTGTTAGTAACTTAATTGATTAGTAAATCAATTAACGTAAAGAGCAAAGATGGCTAAAGTTAATCATGTAAAGTAAGAATATATGAATTTCTGTAAAGTTTTGCGTTGAACAATCACTTGGATCCTGTAGCAAATTGTTGGCTCATGTAGATGTCGATTCCTTAACGGAAACACTATGTAAGTGGTTAAACATGTTTATAGGCAGTGTGAAAATCATTGTTAGTTTCCCGACAAAGCTGTTGTTCGAAGATCTGTTCTATGAAATTTTGTGTCTAAATAAAACTTGGTGATGATGATGATGATGATAATGTTCAGACTGTTGATGAAGACTTTTCCATAAAACCACTGAGCTCAGAGAATGCTACACTACCAAAAAACATTGTTCTCTCTATAATCCTAAATAGTTTTTTGGTACTTTGTTGTTCGCAAACATTTAATTCATTACAACGAAACAGCCTTTGACGATACATCTTTTAACGATCATAGAACTGACTAGAAGAATTAAAACTACGTTTACGGTTTTGAGGAGGATAATTTCATAGAGAGTAATTAACTCAAATCAGTGTACATTCGTAAGCCATAATACTTTTTGTGTAGATAAAAAGAGATCAGAGAACTAACTACTTTTATGTAATGTCTGTCTTATCAGTAGTTTTATTACGGGTACTCTTATTTTATAGAAACATGAAAGAACCAAAATAATAGTGGTGAAGCTGTCATAAACATCTATTTGTACAGTTTATTTACATTTTATGACCATAATGCTTACAATCGAATCATCCATTTACAAATTATTCAAGTATACTGTTTTTTGCT